TATATATATATATATATATATATACATACATACATACATATATATATATATAAAAACAGTAACAAACTGGGCTATTCATCAGAATTACACTCATCCTTCTATATCTATGAGCTCTACACTCATTCATTCAGCTGAAGAATCAAATAAATAATGCATCTATGCTGAATTCATGTATACACAACTTTTCTTGTCATTATTTCCTAAAAAGTACAGTCAAAGAACAATTTACAGTCTTTACATTGTATTAGGGAGTGTAAGTAACTACAGGTGGTTTAGAGTATGCACAAGGATATGCAGAGATTATATAGAAGAACTAACCCTTTGATAAAACGAACTTGAACACCTGTGAATTTTGGTATCCTCAGATGTTCAACAACAGTTTCTATAGGAACTACTAACTGCTCGCAGGTTACTTTTTTAAAGGAGAGGTCACAAACCTAAAATTAAGAGCTCAAACTGTGTAACAAAAAGCAAAGTGAAATTCATAAAATAAAGATTTTTGGTGCATCAAAAGACATTGTTGAAGGACAGTCCACAGAATAGAAAAAATATTTCCAAAAATTTATCATATTATCTGATAAGGAACAGTGTACAGAGAACTCAAATACCTCATCAACAAAAAAGCTACTTGATTTGAAAATGGGTGAAAGTCCTGAATGCATGTTTATACAAATGGTAAATAAATATATGGCAATGTATTGAAAATCACTAATGATAATAGAGATGCAAATATGAGATAACAAGTCATATTTATTAGTTGTATTTGAAACAACAACATGGGCTGAGGACATAGATCAGTCAGTAGAGTGCTTGCCTTACATGCAGAGTTCCTGCATGTTTAATTTCTAACACCACATAAAACTGTACAGTATAGCAGTGTGTGCCTGTCATCCCAGCACTTGGGAGGTGAAGGCAAGAGGGCTAGAAGTTCAAGGTTTCCTCAAAGCTACAAAGTGAGCCTTACACTAGTTTGGGCTTCATGAGATCCTATCTTATGTCAAAAAGTCAAACCAAGAAACACATCCCCCCTCGAAACAAAAACAAAACACAAACACCAAAACAAAACAACAACAAAAACAAGCAGAAAATAAAACCCTTGAATACTGTTATTGAAGTAATAAATTCGTAACAAACCTACAATGGAATGCTGTCTGAGAAATTATTTTTGTTTGAGACAATGTCTCATTATATAGCTCAGCCAGGCCTCAAACTCACAGAGATCCACCTGCTTCTGCCACCAGAATATGCCCAGTGGAATTTTATTCAAATTTTAAGAAAAAAATTCAGATACAAGCTACACCCTGAATAAAGGTAGACATAAGACATCTTATGAAGTAAAATAACTGTGTACAAAGGATACTGTATGACTTCACATCAAGTACTTAGTCAAATTCAGACACATATTGGTAGTTACCAGGAGCTGAGGGTATGCTATTTAATTAAATTAAATTTAATTAAAATTTAAAAACAAAATCAGAAGAAAAAAGTCTAAAGATGAATAATGGTAAAAGTGATACCACAAGGTAAATGTATTTCATGCCTCTGGGCAAGTAACTATTGCTAATAATTTTTAGGTTTTATAGTTTTATTTGCAGTGCTGGTATATGCAGGGTTTTGCATATGCTAGTATTCCGTATGTTTTTAAAGATTTGTGTGTGTGTGTGTGTGTCTGTGTGTGTCTGTCTGTCTGTGTCTGTGTACAAAAGTATGTGGGTGCCCATGAGTGTCTGTGTGTGTCTGTCTGTCTGTGTCTGTGTACAAAAGTATGTGGGTGCCCATGAAGACTAGATAAGTATGTCAATTCCACTGGAACTAGAGTTACTGCTCAATGTGGGTGTTGGGACCCTACTCAGGTCCACCGAAGGAGGGGTAAATACTTCTAACTTCTGAACTCTCTCTCCAGCCTGATATATATGTTTAAGAAACTATCAAATTATTTTTACATTCTTATAAGAATCTGAGCAATCACAATTCTTCTATTAGCTTGCCAAAACTTAGTGATTTAATCTTTTAGATTCTAGCTATTCTAACTGGTGTGGATTTTCTTACTGTTTTAATTTTTTTTCTTACTGTTTTAATTTTTATTTTCTCTACTGAGTGCTGATGCACATTCTCCTGTGTTTGTTACCTATATGTTTTCTTTGGAAGAATTATCTTTTCAAGACTTCAGGCCACTTAAAAATAGATCACATGTTTTCTTATTGTTGATTTTAAAAATTCTTTCTGCAGATTAGTATAAAGATATATGAACGGCAATGGCATTTTCCAAATCTGTTTCTCTTTTCATTATCTCAACAGTTCTGAAGAACTTTAATATTTTGATGAAGTCAATTCATTAATTTTGTTCATTAATTATTTTGTTTATTAATTAATTAGTTATAAATTCTGATGAAGTCAATTCATTAATTTTCTTCTTTTGGCTTCTGGGTTATTTGAAAAATCATTGACTAACTCAAAGTCACATTTTTAAATCATTTTTCTTCTAGAAGTTTTATAGTTTTAGGTTATGTATTTAATTAGATTTATGATAAATTTTGGGTTAAATTTTGTACATGGTACAGAATTTGGGTTGAAGTCGACTTTTCTATTTATATAGATATGCAACTGCTTTAATTTATCATATTAATTACATGAACCTTTGGAAATTATATATATTTAGCTCCTGGAAAACCATGATTCTGTCTTCTGTTTCTATCATGTGACTTCTCTATCCAACCTGGATAAGTGAAATTGCACAGTATTTATCCTTTGTATCTGACTTATTTCACTTAAAATTTCTTCAAGGCTAATCCACATTGGCTTTGTATATTTTAAAGGTATGCTATTCATTACATAAAGATTTTATGTTCTTTTGTTAAATGGCACTTTATTAGTACTGTTTCCCGTTATTTTTCCAATTAAAATATTTTTTTCTAATCAACATATAACCAAGTCTTACTTAAAAAAAATTATGTGTATGTGTGTGTACCCTGCTTGCCTCCATATGCATCATGTATGTACAGTGCCTAAAGAGTCCAAAAGAGGATGTTAGATCCCCAGTACTAAACTTACAGGTGATTATAAGCTTCTGATGTGGGTGCTGGGAACTGAATATGGGTCCTCTACAAGAGCAGCAAGTGTTCTTTAGCCCAGATTTTAGCTTTAATTTTATTCTGAAAACTCTTGTTTTCTAACTGGAGTCATAGCACTTACAATTACAGTAACATAGTTACACTGCAGTCTCTAAACTTGATATTTCTTATTTGTCCTCTTTCTTGTACATTCCATCTTTTCCTGTCTTCATAATTAGTCAAGAATAAAAAAATTATTCAGCTTCATTTCCTTCATAATTTTTGGTTCTTAATTCATTGTTGGAGGATGTACCATTAACTTATCTATTTACATATGAGGGATACTATACTAATTCTCACATAAGAATCTTTAAATCATACATGTATTTCTTCTCTACTGGCTTTTATGTTATTGTTGCCATGTATTTTACTTTTTAGTATGCTATAAAGACTACATTATAAATTATTATTATTGCTCAAAACAAAGACCAGCAAACTAAAACCAAAATCTCATTTTAGAAAATAAAAAGTTTTCAGTATGTGGTAACTCATTGCGTGAAGATCCCTGTCTACTGCCAAGCCTGATCACCTGAGTTTGATGCTCAAGACCTATATGGTGGAAAGAGAGAACTGACTATAAATTGCCTTATGATCCCCAGGCGAATGATCAATGGATGGACGGATAAGTAGGTAGGTAGATAGATATAGATAGATAGAAAGATAATTTAGTTGAAACATTAACATACCCATTCATTTATCTATAATTTATAGCTACTTTAGTCCTACAATAATAGAAATGAATAGTTGGTATGAAGGTTGAACATTTCATATCATAGAGGGTATTAACTATGTAGAGCACATGACAAGAGTCAGTGATATTTCATCAAGATTTAAACAATGAGGAAAATCTCTTATATAGGTAGGACTAAACCTTGCTATCCAATTTACTTTTTATCATTGTTCTGCTACAATGATTATTAGGCTCACATGTGGTCATAGACACATATGTACGCTGCATTTCATTTTGTGGCGGTCAGGCTCTGGAAGAATAAAATGTTAAATGGTAAGATTGCTTAAAACTATTATATCAAACCTCTAACATTAGTGATTTACAGTCTTTAAATTGTAGGAATTTGTGTTTGTATGAGGGGAGAAGAAAGAAGGGGGGGGGAAAGAGCATGCACTCAGATGCAAGCACCATTAGCACAATCCTAACAAAACATGAGCAGTACTTTGATATACTAAGAATGGTTGGTTCAAACGAGGGAAGTAAGAATTTGGGCTGAAATGTATAACTATTACTTTCTCCATAAAATTTGACAAGTGTGGAAACATGGGAGACAAGAAAAAAGTAGAGGTGACCTGTAGGCATACAGATAATTAAAAGTGATGTCAGGAATGGTGAGTCATTCTAAACAAAAAAGAGAAATGACCTTCAAGGTTATACAGGAGTGTAAGGTCAGGAACTCATAGGGAAGAAGCAGGTAACACCTGCTCTGTTATACTGTGCTCACACAAAGTCAGAAATATGGGCTTTTAGGGGAAAGGTGTCAGAAGCATTACAGTAATAAAATCAAAGAGGCAGGTCATCAAATTTTATATCTTACTAAGTCTTAGAGGTTTATTAACAGACTACTAAATATAAGTTCTTATATATGTGTTTGAGTGTATAAAGGTAAGGACGAATATTCATTGGTTGACAATACATATTCTTATTAGAAGATTCAAAACAGGCAAGATTTTACTATATAATTATAAAAGAAGCAACATCAAGTTTTGTTAGGAAATAACCGATTTTTAAGTTGAGTCCCCATTTACAACCAATTATACCTTTGGATCACAATTTCAGTAACTCTATGGAATGTGCAAATACATCTGGAACACTGCTTTGGTGGTGCATATCATGCAATGGATTAATGAAATGCTTTCTTCGCACAGAAACCTACATACCGGGTGTCTTCTGACATAGTCATCCACTTGTTGCTTCAGTTCAACTCTACGTGCATCACTGAGTTCTTGGAGTCCATGCCAAGAGGCAAACAGATTATTTTTCTTACGGCGTTTTGCTAGGAATTTAAGAACCTGTAGTTAAGTAGCAAAAAAAAAAAAAAAAAAAAAAAAAAAAAGCTTGTGATTCTTGTCCCTTAATAGCTATATACAACAATAGCTATAAGTCAATAACAGCACTACTGCAACAGTTAACTCAGTATGTAGGAGGAAAGGAATGTGACTGTGACAAAGTGAAGAAATATAGTAACTTTTTAACTATACAGATCAACCCCCTCCTTCTAATAGGGCTATGTTCCAATAAATCCTTGTAAGTTGAAAATACTAATAAATTGCAACACTCAATACCTTTACCATCATAGTCTGATTTCTACTAAGAGTAGATCACATTCCCACCATAGTAGGGTAGGGCTATCTATATATTTTTCAACTTTTTTTAAAAGGACATACCCAAATATTACTATTACTGTTGTTTTTGGTTTGCCAGGCCTCACGTAGATTAGGCAACCCTTAAACTAACAATGTAGCCAGAATGACCCTTTCTGATCCTCTTGCCTCTACCTGCTGAGCATACAGAGGTAAGCATATGTACTGTCATGCCTAGCTTACATCATGCTAGGCATCAAATCTAGGGTTTTATATACTTAGAAATGCAATCATATTATTTTATTAATGTTGTTGTATATATTTTGTTTTCCCCTCCCTGAACTCCTCCTCCCACATTCTCTCCACCTCCCTAACCAACTTCAAGTTCTCAGTCTCTTTCTCTCAAACACACAAATAAAAAATGAAGATCAAACAAACAAACAAATAAACAAAAAACCAGTAAGACAAAAAAATGCTCTAACAAAACAAAGTGTTTGCCTGGCTGCTGTACTGCTGTACTGAACAGTACATGTCTATAGTACATCTTTAAAAATGATGCTTTAAAAATATGATATGTTTATACGGTCCCTTTAAAGGACACTGCTTTGTTCTAATTTTCTCTAGTACTTTTTCTTTCTTTTCCTTCTTTGAAAGTAATCCTCTTATTTCTGTTTCCATTTTGCTAGTTTTGGTCAATTTTTTTCCTTTTCGTTCTGATTTTAACAATTTCTACTCCTTTTTTAGACTGAGCAGACATGAGGCAAATGTAATTAATCCCTTTCCTTGGATGTTACTATAAAGTATAAAAGCCAAAACAACTCTGCCATAGAATCACTGCTTCTCTAGAGAATGCACATGAACAAAGTATCTCTGAGAGCCTTTCACAAAGTACTAGATTCATTTAAATCAAGCAAGTTAGTACATCAATTCTGCAAGGGCACACCTAATTGCCTGGCTTGGAAGACTTTAAAAAGGAGACAGCTATGAAGTAGAAGTATCATAAAGGAGGCAAACTTCTCCCAAAAGAAGCATTTTCAACCTAGATATTAAGTGAGCTAAACTTTGGTTACTCTGTTTAGCTCAGTGTAAATACCAGGAGTATGTCTACAATTCAGAATGGTATAAGACTGTTTGTTACATATAACACAAGGGAGGAGGATAGATCATTCTCACATTTCCCTAGTATTTATTCTACTGATTGAGAAATATCTTCATCGAAGAGACAGCTCAATAGTTATGAGTGCAATAGTCATGAGTTTTTTACAGAAAACCCTAGGTTTAGTTCCCAGCACTCTTGTCTGCTGGCTCACACTAACTGTAACTCTAGCTCCAGGCACCATGATGGTTCTGGCCTCAGTGGACACCAGCAATTCATATGCACACACCCACACACACATGCTTACATTTAATTTTAAAAAATAAGTTAAAACATCTTTGTAAATGTTAATCCATATTGAGTGTACAAAATTTATCATGGTCAGAAATGAGATTAACAGCAAAATCTATACAAAAGATGATTAAGCTATATATATACTTTAAGAATTGAAATCTTAATAGAAACCCAATGATGTATAAGAGAAATTAGTGTTAATAGGGAGGTTACTAAATGAAAAAGAAGCCTTGTGCTATATATAGTAAGATATTATCTACTATACATAATCCCCAAGAAAATTACAATTTAAGAATACCATTCTACCCACTCGAGACATAACTTCCATAAAAATTGAAAATTCAAAGGAAATGGACACATTTCTGGATAACTATCACTTACCAAAATTAAATCAAGGAACAAACAAACAACTTAAATAGACCTATAACCTGCAATGAAATAGAAGCATTCATCGAAAGCTTTCCAACCAAAAAAAGCTCAGGGCCAGATGGCTTCAGTGCAGAATTCTACCAGAAATTCAAGGAAGAACTAATACTAAAACAGAAGGTTCATTGCCAAACTTTCTACGAGGCCAAAATAACCTTGGTACCCAAGCCTCACAAAATTCAACACCCTTTCATGATAAAGGTCTTGGAGAGATCAGGGATAACACGAACTTACCTAAACATAATAAGAGCAACATACAGCAAACCAACTGCCAACATCAAACTGAATGGAGAGAAACTTAAGCCGATTCCTCTAAAATCAGGAACAAGACAAGGCTGCCCTTTCTCTCCATATCTCTTCAATATTGTACTTGAAGTTCTAGCTAAAGCTATAAGACAACAAAAGGAGACCAAGGGGATCCAAATTGGTAAGGAAGAGGTCAAACTATCTCTATTTGCAGATGATATGATAGTTTACATAAGCGACCCAAAAAACTCTATCAGGGAACTCCTACAGCTGATAAACACCTTCAGCAAACAAGCAGGATACAAGATAAACTCAAAAAAATCAGTAGCCCAACTTTTTTCAGACAACAAAGAGACAGAGAAAGAAATCAGAGAAACATCACCCTTTACAATAGCCACAAGCAACATAAAGTACGTTGGGGTAACCAAACAAGTGAAAGACCTACATAATAAGAACTTTGTGTCTTTAAAGAAAGAAATTAAAGAAGATACCAGAAAATGGAAAGATCTCCCATGTTCTTGGATAGGTAGGATAAACATAGTAAAAATGTCAATCTTAGATTCAATGCAATCCCCATTAAAATCCCAGCACAATTCTTCACTGACCTTGAAAGAATAATAATCAACTTTATATGGAAAAACAAAAGACCAAGGATAGCCAAAACAACCCTGTACAATAAAAGAACTTCAGGAGGCATTACCATCCCTTACTTTAAGCTCTACTACAGAGCTATAGTTCTGAAAACAGCCTGGTATTGGCACAAAAATAGACAGGTAGACCAATGGAATCGAATTAAAAATCCTGATATTAACCCACATACCTATGAACACCTGATTTTCGACAAAACAGCTAAAAGAATACAATGGGGTGAGGAAAGCATCTTTAACAAATGGTGCTGGAACAATTTGATGATGGTGTGTAGAACACTGCAGATAGACCCATGTCTGTTGCCATGCACATAACTCAAGTCCAAATGGCTCAGACCTCAACATCAATCCAGCCATACTGAACCTCTTAGAAGAGAAAGTAGGAGGTACCCTTGAACAAATTGGTATAGGAGAACGCTTCCTAAACATAACTCCAGGAGCACAGACACTGAGATCAACAATTAATAAATGGGACTTCTTCAAACTTAGAAGCTTCTGTAAGGCAAAGGACACAGTGGACAAAACGAAACGGGAAATTGGGAAAAGATTTTCATCAATCCTACATCCGACAAAGGGCTGATCTCCAAAATATGCAAAGAACTCAAAAAACTAGTCAACAAAACACCAAATAACTCTATTAAAAAATGGGGCACTGAACTGAAGAAAGAATTCTCAATAGAGGAAATCAAAAAGGCTGAAAGACACTTAAGAAAGTGATCAACATCCTTAGCTATCAGGGAAATGCAAATCAAAACAACTTTGAGATACCATCTTACTCCTGCCAGAATGGCTAAAATTAGAAACACCAATGACAACTCATGCTGGAGAGGATGTGGAGAAATGGGAACACTCCTCCACAGCTGGTGGGAGTGCAAACTCCTACAGCCATTTTGGAGATCAGTATGGCAGTTCCTCAGGAAAATGGGAATCTACCACAGGACCTGGCAATCCCCCTCTTAGGCATACACCCAAATGATCCACATCCATGCAACAAAGACATGTGCTCAACAATATTCATAGCAGCACTATTTGTAATAGCAAGAACCTGGAATCAACCTAGATGCCCCTCAACTGAAGAATGGATAAAGAAGATGTAGTACATCTACACAATGGAAAACTATTCTGCAGAAAAAAATAATGGAATCTTGAAATTCGCAGGCAAGTAGATGGCACTTGAAGAAACCATCCTGAATGAGGTAACCCAGTCACAAAAAAGAGGAACATGATATGTACTCACTCATATATGGATTTTAGACCTAAAGCAAAGGATCACCAGCCTATAATTCACACCACCAGAGGAACTAGGATACAAGGTGTATTCTAAGTGATTCATATAAAGTCCCTTACAGAAGGGGGAAGGGACAAGTCCCCAAGAACACATGGGAAGTGGGGGGGGGCAGTGAATGGAGAGAGAAGTAAGAGAAAGAGAAGGGGAGGAGAGGAAATCATGTGTGACTAGGAAGATTCAGTCAGGGTAGGAATAGAAGACAGAAGGGGGGGGGAGAGAGAACATAAAAGTGGGAGCCATTATTGGTTTGAAGAGAAAACTGAACCTAAAGAAAGGTCTAGAGACCTACAAGACTGCCGCCAACTAACAATTTGAGCAACCATGGAAAGGCTACCATAAATGCCCTTCCCGGATTGTGAGATCAACAACTAACTTTTCCAACATCATGGAGCCCTCATCTAGTACCTGTTGGAAACAGAAGCAAACACCCATACCTAAACACTGAGTCGAACTAGAATCCAGATGCAGAGGGAGAGGACAAGACCAGGTTGCAGAAACACATAGAGATAGCTGACCCGAACAAGGAGGAGCTAACAGGCCAACAGAATGATAGCTAGGAATCCAGCATGGGACTGACTCAGGCCCCCCTGAATATGGGTCTCAGCCAGAAGGACTGAGCAGTCTAAGGGACCTCAGACAGTAGAACCAGGATGTATTCCTGGTGCACAAAAGGACCTTGGGGACACATCCCCCATGGAGGGATACTGCCTTAATCTAGAGACAGGAGAGAAGTCCTAGTCCCTACTTCAAATGACTTGACAGATCTACATGACCCCACCTGGATGGCATTGCCCTACATGTGGAATTGAGATGGGGGGATGGGAGGGTGGTTAGGGAGGGAGGGAGGGAGGGGGAACTGGGATCGACATGTAAAATAAAAAATAAATAAATAAATTAAAAAAAAGGAAAAAAAAGAATAGCATTCTACAACTCAAAGACTTATAATATTCTAATTATAGCTCGTAATTTCCATGTAATTTGATTATTTTAAAAAATTAAATGATACATTTGCATAGGACTTTGTAATTTACAGATGTCAGAATCCTCATGTATGTCATCTGATATTGTATGTCATCTGATGTATATAACATAAAAACTAAGTCAGAATAAATATCCATTTACATCAAGCTTATTGAGAGCTGACACCAATATAGAAGGCTTAGTTCCCTATTCTTGAAGAACTTGCAATCCAAATAAGAGAGAAAAATAAACAGTAACAAGGTTGCAATCTGGCAAATGGTATACAAGATTCTAAGGCAGTGTTAAGGACTTAAGTGTCTAAATCAGCTTGAGCAGAGCTAAGTAGGTTGTTAATATTACTGTATATTTTTTAAAATGTATGCTGCTAGAGACTGAGCCTAGGGTCTTGCATGTGCTAAGAAAGTACTCAACCAAAAGCAAATTGGCTTGATCATGGATTTATATTTGATAAATAGCATGGTCAATTTTTTGTTTGCCTCTTTATGTAGAACTATGTATACTACAGCAGACTCACTGCTCTTTGAAGTGTAACAGCTGCTTTATACTCTGTGAGAGATGGCCTCTGTTGACGGAAATTCTTCCTTTCCCTGTACCCTCTCCAGTGTTTCTGGATAATCAATGCTGACTTCTCTTCCATTTCCCTATAGTACTTCTCCACTTGACCTAAAGAGATGACAGACATTATTATAACATATTCAACTATGTTTTCTCAAATTCTGAAATTAGGACAACAGTAGTAATAACAATTTTACAGGTTTTTTGTTTGTTATTTTATTATTATTATTATTATTATTATTTTTTTTGAGACAGGGTTTCCATTGGTAACAGCCCTGGCTGTCCTGGAACTCATTCTGTATATTAGTCTGGTCTTAAACTCACAGAGATCCTCCAGTCTCTGTCTCATGAATACTGGAATTAAAGGCATATGCCACCACTGCTCAACAATTTTACAGTTTTTCATTTTTTTTCAATACTGTTCACTAACTTGCCTAACTCCTGCATTTTATTGTAGAAACTAAAGAAACTACAATACAGTTTATTTCCAAAAAGGACTTATAATACTTTTGCTTCAGAGTAATGAGAAAAGGGATGAAAGGTCAAGATGTTTGACCAGAGAATCATATGTCCATGAAGGAAAGCATTTGGTATGACCAGGGGAAAAGGGGGGGAAATGTGTTTATGTGTTCTTTAATCTACTCTGTGTTTACAAACTTCTCTCTGGTTGGTTGCACAATTGACCTTTCCTTGACTTTTGGAGTTGGTCAGCATACAGCTCAGGGTTCATAGTAGTTAAATGACAGAAAAAGGCTATAAAACACAGTACCAGTGGTTAATACAAAGAAGTTATATTAGAGTGTATTAAAAACCTGATAGAATTTAATGGCTAACCTGATGTAGAGGGGTTACAATGAAAGAGATTTTTGGTGTCATACCTGAAATGGGGAATCAATGGAGAAGAAATCTGGTAGTGAGGTCTGACTTTAGTTTTGGAAACACTTGTGAATAACAAAGAAAACTATCCAACAGGCAGCTCATCACAGAAGCACCTAGTAGATACATGTGACTAATGTGTAGGTTTAAATAAAAGTAAAATTAAACCTACACAGTAAAATTTAACATTCAAGTAAGTCCTCAAGTAGAGTAGCGCATTTTGAATATTCATTAGCTACTTGTAGCTATTGCTACTGTATTGACTGATGCAGACAGAAATTTTCACTGGTAACATAAAACATTTTTCTGGGCAGTGCTGCTTAGGAACTTAAGAGAAAAAGTAGGGTGGAAAGAAAGTCAAGAATGAGAGTGCTGAGCATTTTGCTAATAGCTGACATTGCAGTTATGGATAGGATACTTGGCAGAGTAACATGACAATAAATGGGAAAGGTCAAATTCTGGAAAATATTCAAAGTAAAAGAGAGAGGGCTTGTGAATGTTCTTGGTAATGGATAATAAAAAGGGAAGTAAATGAATGATGAAAAAACTGTGAGGGGATAGGCATGTAGCTGAGTTGATAAGAGTACTTGCCTAGCGTGTATGAGGTTCTGGGTTTAATCCTCAGCATGGCATAAAATCAGGAGTGGTGGCCCATACTTAAAATCTAAGCATTTAGGAGGTAAAGGCAGGAGGAAGACAAATTCAAGATGCCCTTTAACTACATACTAAAGCCAGCCCAGACAATATGAGATCTTGTCAAAAAACAAAACCATAAACAACAAAAAATTCTAGCAAAATGACTCAATTGACAAAATGCTTACTATGCAAGCATGAGAATCCAAGCTGGGATTTCTGGTAACCTATGCAAAAATCTGGCAATGGTGGCACATGGCTGTAACCCCAATACTGGGGGAAGATGAGCAGAGACAAGAAGATACTGATGGTTTGTTAGCCAGTTAGCCTAGCCAATCGCTGAGTATCAGGGTTAGTGAGAGACCCTGTCTCAAAAACTAAGGTGGAGTGGGACAGAAAATGTTAACCTCTGGCCATATACACATGTGTACCTACTACACATGCACATACATATGAACATGCACACACAAATACACCACAGCATGCTCTTATTAATCCAGCTTGGTCCGTCACAACTGATGACACGTCACAAATATTACACTAAGGAATGAATGACTAAAAACTTATGTTTAACACATGTACCTGAAAGTAAAAAATATTAAAATTGATAGCGTTGAATCAGAAAAGTTATAACTTTTTAAATTCAGAGCTTTAATATGATTTCTCTAGGGGGTAGGGGAGGGAAAGGCAAAAAATTTCAAAAACATAAAAGAAAAGAAATTATCAGGTTGCCAGAAAACTTGGTTTAAGATATTCTAACATTCTTAACATTTATGAAGGTGATATTAGTACTAACCTGGATGAACTATTTCAAGCATACTTAAGCGTGATTCTCGGGAAAGCCTCATGGCTCTCTGTCTTTGAAGCCGCAATCTTAATCTGAGGTCTTCTTCTTCCTTCTGCCTGTTTAGCTCCAACAATGTCTTTGTTCGTTTAGATCTGTGAAAGAAAAGGGGTAGTAAGTTCCTTACATATAATTTTATAAACCTGTCAAACAAATGCATGAAATTCTTGATTTCATGAGTAATCAAATAAATAGACAAAAATGTTTTGGAAGGTGACTCCTAGTGTTGGTAGGGTATTATGAAATACATTGTTCCTATGTATAAATATCTCTAGATCATCAAAACTCTGGAGAAATATTTAACTACATATAAAAAGGCTAAAAAGTGCAGACCAAGCAATTTTACTTCTAATAATTTTCTTACTGACATAATCAAATATGTAAAGATATATATTCAAGGATGTTGTAACATACTATTACAGTGCTAACAACTTAAAAGGTATCCCATAATAGTAGACTGAATAAATAAATATTGGGCCATTTAACTAACAGGATTTCACAAATTTTGAAAATGGAAAACTAGCAAAAATGATTTAGTGACATGTACTGTCAGGTGAAAATAAAATCAAGAGTTACAATACAAATTGTGCTAAAAATTTGTTTTAACTTACATAGAAACATAAATTATTTAGAAACATTAAAATTTTAATAGTGATTTTCACTGCATGGTAGAATTTTGTCTTTTAACATCTTAGGTTTATTTGTTTTCTTTCTCCTTTTGTTTTGTTTAAGGTTTATGGGGACTGGAGAGATGGCTCCACAGTTAAAAGCACTAGCTGTTCTTCCAGAAGTTCCAGGTAAGATTTCTAGTACCCAGGTGGTAGCTCACAACTGTAACTCCAGGTCCAAGAGATCCAATGTCCTCTTCTGGCCTATGCAGGCACCAGGAATGCATGTGGTACATAGACACATATGCAACACATGCATGCCTAGTGCCTTTGGAGGCCAGATAAAGGTGTCAGATCCCCTGGAACTAGAGTTAGGGATGGTTATAAGTCACCACATGGATACTGAGAATCAAACCTAGGTCTTTTGCAAGAGTAGCAAATGCTCTTAACCCCCGATCCATTGAACTTGACTCTTATTTTTTCCTTTTGTTAAATTTAATTTTTATTACATTTATTTAATGTCTGTGTATGCATTATGTGTGATCAGAGGAAAACCTGAAAGGGTCAGTTTTCTCCTTCTACCATGCTGGTCTGGGAACTGAAAAGACATCAGCTGGATGGAAGGCATCCTTACCCTGCTGACCATCTAGTCTACTCCCAAGTTGATTAAATAAACACTGTTTTATAGCTGGATATAAAATTGTTTCTGTGTTCAAAAATATTTAATTATAATTTCTGCTGTTATTTTTCAAATTGCTTTTTTTTAAAAAAAATTGTTTCTTAATCACTGTAACCCAGTCTTTGATACTTCCTATATGTCATTATGCAAAGCATCACAAATATTATATACAGTATATATACTCACAATACTTTTTAGGCATGTATAGAAGAAAACCAGGAAGAGAAGGAAACAGGATATACTATTCACTTTACTTAAATTTATTTGCATATCTCCCTTAAGAGTATATGTCTTCTCTCCCAGTAGCAACAAGATAAATACTTGAAAAGCAAAAGAGGAGTTTGAATCCAGTGGGGTTTACACAGTGAGACCCTGTCTCAATAAAATAGCACTACCCTCAAGCAAAATAACCTCCAAAATATGAGCAAGTTAATATACCATAAAGATACTTACATATCCATGTTAATTGTTGCACTATTTACAATGGCAAGATGATAGCAGCCTAAATGTTTTTCAATAGATGGAAGAATAAAGAAAATGTGGTACATATACATAATCATTTTACTCAGCCATAAAGAAAAAAATGAATTCATGACATTTGCATAAAATGAAGGGAACTGAAAATCATTAAGTGAGACTGATAAATATACAGAACCTGTATTTAATTTTGTGTGTATTTTTAATGAAACTAGAAAGAAGATCATGAGAGGGGATGGGTGAAGAAAAGAGTCTACTCAGGGTAGGGGAGAGAATCAGCCGGAGGTGGAGACAAGTGGAGTATTGTGAAGGCAATGAAGGAGAGGGTGAGTTAAAACGAAGTGTAACAGCACGTATGTGAGAAAATGCTATAAAGAAACTTTTTATGTTAATTAAAAATATTTAAATGACAGGATATTAATTAAATCCCATAATGCACTCCTACATGGAGACACTCATAATCCTGAGGTACTTTTTGTTTTCCAATGTAGTGATGTAGATTGTATACTAACAATGCATTCTAGCATTGAGCTAAACCCTAGTCCTCGGAGATATTTTTAAATAAGAAAAATCTTGAAAGAAAAATCTTGAAAGAAAAAACAGGTAACTTTAGCAAATACTATGGGGTCAAACTTAAATATCTGAATCTACTGTCATGGGATATCTTTAAGGATAAAGAGACAGATGGCTGAGGATGATAGGTAGGATCCCTAAGCAAAATTACTCTGAATTCACTTACAGAGGGCATTGTCAAGAACATTCAAACATTTTACAAAAATAGACATGGTCATCCTCAAAATATTTGGTATTTCTCAAATTCTGATCACAGAAATGTTCTTTTAAGTTATTTGGTTTCATTTTTATTTATTTCCTAAGAAACAATTTGTAGGAAAATAAGCCAATGCTATCTGGATAATGATAGCATTGCTTCTCATGAGTGTTATTATTATAGAATTATAAATTTTAAGGGCAGAAAAATTATTTTTTTTATCCTAACATTTCAAGTGCCATATACTAGAACATTTTATATTACCTCAAATGTATTGTTTCGTCCTTGTGAGGTACTTAAACCTTTAGTCATACATTCATTTAATTGTTGTTGTGCTGGGGAGTCAACCTAAGGTCTTATGAATGCTAGGCAAGTGCTCTACCACTGAACTATATCCAGTTTTCCTTCATTCTTTACTTTGAGGTAGGGTCTCTGCTAAGTTGTCTAGTAGTAGTAGTAGCCTTGTATTCACTCTGTAGCCCCAGGCTAGATTTAAACTTATATTCTACCTGCCTTAGTTTCCTGAGTAGCTGAGATTACTGGCCTGTGCCACAATTCACAGCTATTATCTCTTTTCTCTAGATTCAAAATTTGAGGCTAAGAGTTAACTTGTCCAATTTCACTCAGCCAGTAAATTACTGAAGCCAAATACAAACTCGAATCTGTTACTTTCTTTCCATGTGTGTACGCATGTGCGCTTGCACATGTACACATACACACACACACACACACACACACACACACACACACAATGCATGTTTGAAAGCCTAATACTGTCTTTGCTAACAATACTCATGCACAATATTATTTACAACTTGTCTTTAAATTCCTCTGAAAGAAAATTTTCATGGGATATCCACTAAGTAACACAGCCAGAGTAATCATGTGACAATGTAGTATTTTGAGCATAGAGCTATTTTTAAATGTTTTTATAACAGAAATGCAGCTGCAGTTATTAAAAGATTGGTTTCAGTTTTTAAAGTTTACTTCTGTAATATGTCAGTTTCATTTAGCTTAAATTTAGCTTAAATTTAGTTAAATTTAGCTTAAAGTAATCATGGATGAAAATAAAATCACCTCTGAGATGGCTCGACTTTTTAATCAATGTTAATTATTTTTTCCACTTATCTTGCTGTAGTTCTTTTTTGTAACCTTTAAGAATGTGGCTAGGTTAGTCATAATCAGAAAGTGACCCATATGTTCAGTATTTCATTTTTCATAGTACAACTGCAGTAGAGATCAATAGCTTTGTTATATCTAAAAGATCACATCTACCCATGCCATATTTACTCAGGGAAAATTGGTTTACAGTTTTAATCTTTATAAAGTCATATATTATCATTATTACATATGAGCACTTATGAAAACTGTTGGTTTTGAGAATTTAATAATGTAAATATCCCTGGCTCCCTCTTCGGGATTGGCCCACAAACCTGGACAGGAAGTGGACAGGACTGAGTATTGGATTCCATCAGATTTGTCATATTATGACTTTTGTTCTGAAAGGGTACCTGGTTACTTGAGTGTTGGTACTCAGTAACACTATGGAACAAAATAAAGACAAGAATAAAATAAAACACATTAAGAAAAAGAGGAAGAGGATAAGGAAGAGGAGGAAGAGGAGGAGGAAGAAGAAAGAAGAAGAAGCTATAGCCCAGCTGGCTATTTCCATTCAACTGTGCTCTGGTAACACTCTCATATCATTGTTTCTTTTCTTTTTCTTTCTTTCATTTTTTGGGGGGTGGGAGTGGGAGTGCGTGGGTAATTATAGATTTACACGCAAAGCTAGATCACCATTTCAATCAAAATTGTTTGGTTTGGTTTTTCTACCTGAAACTCCTCTGCAAAGCAATCACAGCAGACGGAAGCTTCTTTAATCTCTTTCTGGTCTGGAAACCTTTCCAATAGGCTTGAATCAAGCAAGCTGCTTTATGTAGTTTCTGAAATTATATACCAGAAATAATTTTGATACATCTCTAGAAAAGTCTTTTTGAGACTCTTAAAATACCAGGCCAGAGTAAATGCTATTCCTCACCTCTAAACAGATGGGAAGCAGGAAACACTGTGCCCAAATATACTATACCTCACTTTCCTGATACAGTATATTAATTTGGGATAATTTCTAGAACATATCTGAGATAGACCAGTTAGCTCCAAATTCTCTCTTTGATCTTACTTCCTTTTCAAAGATTTCAAGTCCTGCCCAGTCTTTCATAATTTATTTTGAGCTAATGTCTTGTTTGGTTGCTTGTGGTTTTTTGAAACTCAGTCTTGTTGGGTAGTCCACAGTGAATAAAGTTATCCTTTTGCCCTAGCCTCTGAAGCACCATCATGCCCAGAGAGTTAATTTGTTAATGTTTTTATTTAGTATTTTAAAAATATTTATTTTTTATTATTTTTAATTATGTGTATATGAGTGTGTTTGTGGGTATGTGCATGCCTGCTGAGGCCAGAGGCTTCAGATCCCCCTGAAACTGGAGGTGCATGCATTTGTGAGCATCTTACATGGGTGCTAGCAACAGAACTCAAGTCCTTTGCAAGAGCAGTACACACTCTTAACTGTTGAGCCATTGCTCCTTTCCTTTTAGTATTAATCAACTTTATTAGGCTTAGGCAATACAAGCTCTGTTGACTATTTGTGAGTAGTTATGAAAAGCCTTTTTAGTTCTTGTAAGCTTTCAGGATGCTGTTTTGAGTCCGTCTACAACACGTATAGTTTTCAAAGTAGTCTATGGAAGTAAAGAATTCTTTCCCTTTATTCTCTTCCTTCCAAATGTCCCCCTTCATCCTCCTGCCTAAAACAGACTTCCTTTCAATTACCTTTTGGTTTAAGACATCAAGTATATATATAATAATCTCACTTCCTTTTACTTTAAAATTTTCTTTTATTATTTTAGACTCTATTTCCCATATATATATATAAAGGCCTTACCTGAAGATAAGAAAAGTGTGTGTCTCTTTCTATAGAAGTTACCTGAAGCCTCCATTCTGAGTATATGTTGAGGAAGTCTGATAAAATAAACCTGTCATACCTCAAACATAATTTTTATTAACATAATTTTATGTAAGGAGGAAAAATGTATTATTTTGTATCAATGATTAAGAAGGCTTATTATAGGTGGCCATATATACACTTTGCTATAATGAGAGATATTTTTCAAGCAAATGAAGTTTAAATTGCTTACAGACAAAAAAAAATAGGGAATTTCATAAGACATTCTGAAAAAAATTAAGCTGCTCAAATCTATAAATAGATATAAGAGTGAGACTGAAATTGTGTTTACTGGTAGACTAAATGAAACAATACAATGTAAATCACAAAAGAGTTTTATGACCTAGGGATAATATTTTACTTAAAGTGTTAAGAGAAGGAAAGTGAGAACACTTAAGGAGAACTGAGGTTCAACACAGTTATCAAATATCACACAAATTAATTTTTATATACCTGTTCTTCTACTTCCTGGTGGATCTTAGGGGTTAAAAGAACAACAAGCTGTCTAAGTTCACGGCTAAATTCTGTCATAGTTTCCTGCTTATTTAGCAGACTTGTAAGTCCTGAAATATAATAACAAGACATAACAATTATCAATAAAGTAAGATTTTTGTTATCTAAGTATTAATGAACTTTAAGTCAATTCAGAAAATGAATAAATATAACAACATGATTATATATATGATTTTCTTTTTCTCAAAGATTTCCATGCTGAGACCCTTACAATCTTTACCGTTCTGATAATTTTTATGTCCCTAATTTGTGTGATCTAAATGTAAAAATATGTCTAAACAATTTATTTTCTAAAAAAGGGGGGCAATAGGCTCACTGCAGTAAGTCAGACTAGAGAGAATTTGTTTTCCTTTCAACACAAAAACCTTAAACTAAAACATTTTAAAGAAGATAGTTATTGTAAGCATATATTCTATGTATGCCTACCTTGTGGAAGCACTTGAGTAGGTTACTATTAGTCACTATTAATTAAAAAAATGTATTAACCAATTTTAACTATACTAACATCTATAATTTGGAGATAATCTAAGCGGTTTCTGAGCAAATACAGAAATGCTGTAACACTAGGACACTGCATTGTAATTCCAAAATAATACAGTAGTCACGAACAGGAGAATATAACCTTTATGTCCAAAGCATGCTGGAATTATGTGTGATATAATAAATATAAATAAGCAAAGAAAATTGTCTTGCAGTGAACATTAGGAGCTGTCATCATATAGATACTTAAGATACAAGTTCTCAGAAGCACAATTGCAAAATATCTTGGTAAACCTGAGTAAATTCTACTGTTGCAATTTTATCATTTAAAGAAATGAAGAGGCATTAAGGTAAAAATTCACATTTTCTTGCTTTTGTTCTTTTTGGCAGAGGGTGAGGGGGTGTTGGGGCAGGGTCTCACAATGTAGCTCTGGCTGTTCTGCTATTCACTATGTACACCATCTGGTCCAGAACTCATAGAGATCTGCCTGCCTCTGACTATCAAGGGCTGAAACTAAAGGCATGCACCTCCACACCTAGCATGAACATTCACATTTCTGGAGGACTCTAGCTGCTGTATTGAAAAAAATGTATGCCTGGCATAATAACAAATAGAGGTCTAGTAATGGTACTTATTCTACCTCTTTTCTTACAATATAAAAAATAACTAAAATGGCTATAGTAATAATAGATATAAGGAAAGTTACTAAAGTGCCTTTCAAATCATCAAGAATGATTACAGTCTATTCTAACTGATTAATAATTAAACAGATACTACAAATTTTAAGAGTCTCATGCAGCATCCTATATTAAACATATTCAATGAATTAGAAAACAGACAATATTTGTTTGAATACAAATATATTTGTTAACAAAGAAACAACATAAAGCTAATATAACTTTGGCTGGTAATTGGAAAACTATAATCTTAAGTAATATTGAGCAAATTACCTAATTTTCTACACTTCTTATTCCATACCTATAAGGATAAGAATATCCAATATACCAAAGGAATGTTTTAAAAATTAAATTTAAGTATGTTTAGTAGTGCCTTACAATCAGTTAGTGTTCAGTTAAATGAATGCTCTCACACAGGAATGGTAGACAACAATGAATTCATTTACTCTCAAGATTTATGACTTTTTAATTGTATGAGTTTGAGTTTGGAGTGTAAAGAATATTTTGTTGTTGCTTTTTTGAGTAAAGGCTGTGAAGAAGAGATTACTTATTAATTGATAATAATGCACAGTCCTACTTTCTTCTAGAGTAAGTTCTGATAAGGTTACAGACATCTTTGACATTATTTTACTACACTATTTGGTATATCCAACATAAACATTTTGTCAGGGAGGGAGTAAACATTTATTATAACCCCATCAACAAAATATGCATGCTATCTGTAGATTGTATAGTGACATGTTCTAAAATGGCATATGTTAAAATAGATTTGTCTGCACAATTCAGCTACTAACATTTCAAAATATAAAAATTTTGTCATTCATAAGCTGTCAATATATTTTTATCTTTGAGAATACCAAGAAAAGAAAATACACATGACCTACCTTTATAGCAGGCACTTAGTCTCAGTAAAATCAAAATTTCCTGATGGGATTCAGCTAGCATTAGCAGGAGCTTTGTAGAAACACTTCTTATGACTGGACTAGGAGTTGATAAAAGCTTGAAAAGAATTTCATCTAAAATAGAATGCAGGGTTTTCCCTTCTATTTTGAGCAAATCACCACTAATAGGACAGAATAAAAAAGTGTAATTACTAATTCATACATGGTTATCACAACAAATTTAAAATAAAAGGTTTAGTAATTTAAATGACTGTTTGTGGCCTGACCCATGAAGACAGTCACTTTTTAAAGCATATAACTTGATAATTTAGAGTATAGCATATTAAGTCAACTAACATTTCTGATTTCCTACTGTGGTTAGAGGACCATATTAGGTCCAACAGATGAAGGTCCCCTCTTTCCTCTCAGAGAAACTTACCAATTGAAAGAAAAAAACAAAAAACCTAAGATCAATTAAGTACTTCAAAAGCCTCAAGGTAACAAATCACAAGACTGAAGTTAGATTCAACAATTATATGATATATAAAACCATGTGCTTAATTTACAAGGAGAATTTATTTCCTTTGGCATTTATTATCATTTTGCATTACTGATTTGGGTTTTTACTTTGTTTGGGCTTTGTTTGTATATTTTGAAGTTGATTCTTGTGTTTGTGAAAGAAAAACAATATAAAGTTTATTGGGTAGGAAGAAGTAGAGAGGATCTGAGAACAACTGGGAGAGGAGAAAAAACATGATCAAGCAGGGCTTAAACCCAGCACTGGGAGCTGAGGGAGCACAGAGGCAAGCAGATCTCAGAGTTTCATGGCAACCAGGGCTACACAGAGAGACCCTGTCCTAAGGGGGGGGGGGGGACCAGAATGTACTATCTGAAAAAAAAAAAATTGAAAAAATGTAGTATTAAAAAAAGAACTTGTCTATTTCACCTAACTTGTTGCATTTATGAGTATAAAGTTGCTCAAATCATTCCTGTGTGATTTTTTTTTGTTTGTTTTGTTTGTTTGTTTTTCAAGACAGGGTTCCTCTGTATTGCTTTGGAGCCTGTCCTGGAACTAGCTCTGTAAACCAGGCTCTCCTGGAACTCACAGAGATCCACCTGCCTGCCTCTGCCTCCCATGTACTGGGATTAAAGGTGTACGGCACCAATGCCTGGCTTTCCTGTGTGATTTTTTAAATGATAGTAAAAAATGTTATTTTCTAAACTTTTACATTCTTGAATTTCTTTCCTGATCACTCTTGCTGTAGATTAATTTCATTCATCTCAGATTCAACTTATGGTTTCACTTACTTTATTGTTTGCATTAACTTTATTGACAATGATTACTGCTTTCATGTTTATTGTTTTTCCTTCTTTGGCTTCAAGTTTACTATTCCCTTATTTTTCTAGTTTACTTAAAGCAGAATTGACATAATGATTTGAGATTTTTCTTTCCCAATATTGATATTAATATAAAAATTTTAAGTATTGTTTGAATTAAGTTGTACCTCAGAAATTCTTTTCATCTGTTTCTTTTATGTCCATTCATTTAAGATTTCTAATTTTACTTTTGATTTTTTTTTCTTTGTTTTGTAGGTTACTTAGGTATGTGCTATTTCTTCCATTATTTGGGGACTTTTCAGAGATTTGCTTGTAACTCATTTCCAACCTGATTCCATTTATAGCACAATCTTTGTTATTTAAATCCTTTTAAGTTTATTGAGAGTTGTTTACAGGCACATGGTATGATTTTTTAAAAATGTTTCTGCGATAAGTAGACTTTTATATACTAAGCTGAGTTTATTAGTACTCTACTGAATTTTTGAAGAGAACCTTTTGCAGATCTCTGATAAAACTTTTTTCTAGTATTCTGCTTTGTGAATTTTAGTCATCTTGCTTTCCCTAGATTCCCTACTTTATTTCTTTAAATCAAACTTTCCTGCTACATCACATCCTAAGTATTAACTCAGGGCAACTGCTAAGCTTTTTGTATAGTTAGGATCTTGAGTGTGAAAAGCTCAGTCTCAAGGAAGGAGCTATTTGGAACTGCCGTAATGTTTAAGGTTTAAGGGGTGGGACATAGTAGGAGGTCCAGAGATCACTAGAGGCATGTTCCTTTCTCTCTCCTTTACTTCCTGGCTATACAGTGAGCTTCTCTGCCCTGCCACTTGTTCTCAATATGATATGATGCCTCACTTACAGTCTCAAAACCATAGGGCAAATAATCATGTAATGCATGGAGCCTCCAAAGCCATGATCCGAAGTAAACCTTTACTTCTTATAAATGTTTCTGGTTTTTATTACAATGACAGAAAACCCCAACCTTGGTCAGTGACACTGCAGCCCTGAGCTCCCCGTGCTGTCACCGTTCTCCTGCAGGTCCTACGCCTGCACTGCTGCCAGCAGGCATGGCCACCCCACCCAAGAGGTTCTGCCCTTCTCCCTCCAACAGCTCCGAGGGGACACACATCAAGAACTCCATCAAGGAGAACATCACTGCTGAGAAGTCAACGTTTGTGAATATCCTGAAACAAGTTTGTGAGGATTGGGAAGTGGTTCCTGAACCTGTTCCCAGGTGGTACAATGTTCAAAGTACTCAAAATGAATTTGATGAATTGACAATGTCTCAGAAAAGTGGTGGGAATATTCTTCAAATGATGTACGAGAAACCAGAGCAGTGGTCTTCTACGCCTGTCTCAGTCAAATCCGAGCTCAGCTTGCCTCTCTCAACAGCAAGCTCAAAGATGCAGAGAAACCTGAATTATTTTTGAATGATCTGTGTACAGTGACAGGTGTATTTTTGCATTGAATTTGTATGAATCTAATTGCATGAATGAAACAGAGTAGACAATATATCAGGACTGGCATGACTGGATGAATAGCCAGTTTGACCAAAGCCTTGAACTGTATAGAATAATTTATCTTTGGGCTACTCCAGAGAAATGCTTAAACAGAATATACTTTCGGAGGACTGAAGAGCAAGACATCCCCCTTGAATATCTAGAGAAGCTGCACTGTAAGCATGAGAGCTGGCTCCTTCACCAGAAGTGAAAACCAACTTTGATTATCTTCAAGAGGTGCCTATCTGCATACTGGACATCAATGAAGACTTTGAAGACAAGCATCGAAGTCTGGTTGAAAAGGTCAAAGAATTTTTGAGTACTTTGTGATTGTTGGGGCAAATTACAGGTGACAGGATGTCTCCAGACACTTAGTTTGTGTGCCATTGTAGCTTGCTCTTCGTACCAAGGTCTTTACAGGATTCAAGTTTTTAAACCATTGCTTTTTTTAAGGAAAACATTTTCTTTATATATGTCTTTTATTTAATATTCAGAATCACCTGTAAAACTTTGCATTCCTCCTTTATCCTTTACACCCTCCACCTCCCTCCCACAGTTTTAAATCAGAACTGTTGTATCTCACACCAGGAAGTCTGGAGGTAGGTGTTCCCAGAGTCGGAAAAGTGAGTGGATAACTGTTTTTAAAAACGCTCAGCCTTCTCTTCTTCTGCCTTCTTGGTTTATCCAGAGCAGGTTAACATGTTTTCATTGTTATCAAGATTTACTGGTGACCAGTTTAACTGGCCACTTTAATTGTCCATATACAGGATGTGTGTCTTATGTAACTTAATATACCTATTATGAACTGAAAAGTGAAGTTGGGGAATCCGTAGAATAGGATTTGTTTGGTGTTTGTTTTACTTTTCTTGTTCCCTTTGGTGATGGACATTGAACCCAGGGTCTCATTCATGGTTGGGAAGTGCTCTACAGTGAACTGTCCCCAGCCTCTGAAGTGTTGTTTTTAATCAAGTGCCTCTCCTTCCACCCACTTAATGACGATAAGACCATGTTATTGTCACCTCACTGATGTTTACTAATGTGTCTGTGGTGTATTTGTAGACAAAGAGATTCATCTCTTTTCCCAGTATGGTAATGGTGTAATTACTTTATAAATCATCTAATTTTTACCTATTTCTTCATCTGTGACGAGTATTCTTTTTCTTTTCTTTTTTTAAACATAAATTTTGGAGAATGGAAGACATCTTTCTGTATTTAAAAGGTAGCTAAGACTTTTATTACATGAGTATAAAGCTTTATTGAATTAGCTACTGCTTTTCTTGGATTACTATTTTTTTTTTTTTTTTTTTTTTCCTGAGACAGGGTCTCTCTACAGTTCTGGCTGTCCTGGAATTCACTATGGAGACCAGACTGGCCTTGAACTCACAGAGATCCACTTCTGTCTCCCTGTCCCAGGGCTGGGATTAAAGGCATGCAACACCACACTGGGCTCTAATTTTCTTGAAATCATTTTAGATACGAGTATAGTTTTTCCTCAATTTCTTTTAATTTTTATGTAAAATGTTGATAGAATATAATGGCAACTTTTCCATTGGCCCTGTGTTGGTAAGTAGTCTCTCTCTTCCTCTATACATGGTGAGACATTGAGCTAGACTAAGCCAAGGTAGAATGTTTCAACTATTCAGTCTGTTCATGCCACCTCTCAATATTTATAGGCTTTTCCTTTCCTATCTGAAGTTCTTAAGATTTAAGTCACACATTTCTGCTGTGAGAATGTTGTGATCACACTTGGCTTCGCAGTTTTCTTTGTAGGATTATCCTTAAATTCCTTGTGCTCACAGAGAAATTATTGATAAAATGATTTTGCTTTACATATAGTGTATCATTGACATGTTACAGTTTTTATTGAACTAGGAAATAACTTCAACAAATTCCATGAGGCTTAAAGCTACCATTAATAATGCGTGTATCTCTAAACCACTTTCATGTTTAGCTATAAAGCTGTGCTTGTATTCAGCTGAGGCCTGGATGTGCATTTTTACTAGGTAATTAGCTTTGCTACTTCACATCCACAGAAAATGAAAAGCTGTTATGTTTGGTTTCTTATTCAAAGATGATAATTTAGTGGGTTAACTAATACAGTAGCACTGATCTTTGAAAAAGGGGACTCAATTTCAAATTTGTAATAACCAAAAATAAGTTGTCTTGTGATATACCTGACCTCTTTTCATTTTTGTTTGATATAAATAATAAATAAATTTGCCACCTTAAATGTTTGTCAATAAATAAATTAAGGATTTTTGAACTAAAAAAAGAAAACCCCCAACCTTATTATTTTTCCCACTTCTGGGCTTTCATTCATACATTGAGTCATGTTCAGTTTACTGAGAACTGATCCTTCATGATTTTTCTTTTTCTTTTCCCCCACTGATCAAGGAAATTCACTTCTATAAGTCTATTTTAATCCAAAGTGGAAATTAAGTTCTAGATGATTTTAATTAATTAAAAAAGATCTATTCCCTATCACCAGTGCCAAGATTTTATCACTTTACTTGAATTGCTATGGTTGCTTGTTCTATTTTTTTATTTTTTATTTTTTTGCATTGCTAGGCAACACCTTTAGAATATTTAACATCCAAGGTAAGTGCCCCACCATTAGGATACCTCCCTAGTCTTCCAGTTGTCTTCTTTGTCTAGAGCAGCAGTTCTCAACATAAGAGTTACAAGCCCCTTTAAGTGTCAGGGCCGTTTGTTATTTGTTCTATTCCATCTTGACTTAAGGTCAGAGTTCAAACCTATTCTTGCTCCTCAAGGTTTAAGGACAAGATGTTTGGCCTAAGGTGTGGCTACTGAATGTCCTGACCCTCAAGACCTAATAATAGGATGTTTGGCATAGGGTGTGGTTGCTTGATGTTTTGGGTATTGGGAAGATAATTATGTTTGTCCCTTATATCATGGTAAGGAAGTGTTTTGCCCTCCCCTTTAGATTGGGAACTATGAGTAATAAACTTGGAGCTTTTTTTCAGTATTCACTGAGTGCCCTCCCAACTCTATTTACTGTCTCTTGTCTATTTCTTTCCTCAGTCAACACTCCCCTTCTCAGGAATATACAGATTCGTCAGCTGGACCTGATATTTAGGGGTCAAATATCAGCTATCTTGCATATCAGATATCTATATTACAATTCATAACAGTAGCAAAAGTATGGTTATGAAGGAGCAATAAAATAATTTTATGGTTAGGGGTCACCACAACATGAGAAACTATATTAAAGGCTTACAGCATTAGAAAAGTTGAGAACCACTGGATTAGAGTTTTGTTATCATCATCTCTCCATTAGTAACTAGAGAAATAAAACTAAAATGTAAAAACAAAAAAACAAAACAAAACAAAAAACCACTTCAGTGGTCTCCATTTCCTACAGGATATGTATGATTGTTTTCTTAACATAGCATATCATTTTTTTTTTATAATGTAAGTCTCTTCAAAATTTGCTGACCACATTTAATACTGATCTTTAAATCCCAGCAAGATGAACCTTACCTACTTTTTACCCCCCCCAGCATAATACTTCTTTCTCACCTCTGACTTTTGCTTATGTTGTTACTTTGTTCTTTCTCCTGCTTTATCCCCATCCTCCCTGTACAGCTTTGAAATTTCATCTCAGGTTTTAATTTCTTTAGGGTGCATTTTCACTTAGTTTAATTTAGAAGCACTTTTAATACTTGTAGATAACTTTAATATTCCAAATTAATATACAAAAATATAACTATGTCTTCCTCAACATTCACTCATTGAAAACAAGATTTATATTTGAATAAGCATTGCAAATAAATGAGAAACAGTAATTATGGTACATAGTAGCCAATAAATAAACCCATACTTGAGTGAAATAATGACTAAGTATATTTTTTACTGTGATCCTAATATTTTTCTTTAGGTATCACTCCAATTCTTTTTTCTAAGCCTGAGATTTTCTAGAGCTCTGAGATAACAATTTGATAACAAATTTCTCATCTCTTACAGTATCTTATATTAACTTTTTCCAAAAGTCAATCATAAGAGAACTTAAATTTCATGTATATATCATATGTAAAAGGTTGACAAATTATAATAAAATTAGTAATATTTCTAATTAAAAATTGTGTAAATTAAGTCACCTGTTGATCTGCAGTATATTCTGTAGCAGAGTCATGACTGTAGCTCCTATTTGAACATTATCAGTTTGCAGCAAGTGTAAGAAATGATCACTCTGCAGTACTAAAAGAATAGTGAGAAAAAGAAATGTTAAACCCAGATGCAGATGGAGAGGACAAGACCATCTGGCAGAAATACATACAGACAGCTTACCTGAACAAGGAGGAGCTAACGGCCACTAGACTGATAGCTGGGAAGCCAGCATGGGACTGACTCAGGCCCCCCTGAATATGGGTCTCAGCCAGAAGGACTGAGCAGTCTAAGGGACCTCAGACAGTGGAGCCAGGATGTATCCCTGGTGCACAAAAGGACTTTGTGAACATATCTCCCATGGAGGGATAACTGCCTTAATCTAGAGAGAGGAGAGAAGCCCTAGTCCCTACTTCACATGACCTGTCAGATCTACATGACCCCAACTGGATGGCATTCCCCTACATATGGAATTGGGGTGGGGGGATGGGAGGGTGGTTAGAGTGCATGTGAGAGGGAAGAGAGGGTAAAAAGGAGGGAGGAGGGAGGGATGGAGGGAGAGAGGGAGGGAGGGAGGGAGGGAAGGAGAGGGAACTGGGATCAACATGTAAAATAATAAATTAAATTAAAAAAATGCTTTGACTCCAAAATTTAAGTTGAAGGACAAGTTACTGGGGAAAAGGATTTCTATTTTTGTTTCCACAGAAAATGAAAAGATGTGGATTCCTTCCAGACTAATGTGGTTTGATCACGCCAGACCGCCTGAAACAGAGTATAAGGTGATCCTACATTCAAAACAGCTGGACAAAGCAGCCCTACAGACTACAGCCAGGATTTCTGAATCTTCTTCGAATCCCCCATGACAGCGCCCCTTACCAGCAGGAAGTAGTTTGGAAAGAACAACGCCCAAATTCCCAAATATTGTGTATAAATGTTTGTTACCATTTAATTGGACTTTGTTATATAAAATAAAATAATAAAATAAAAAAGACTATAATAACGTAAGAAAAATTTTGTCTTTTTTAAATCAAATCAAAGCATGATCATTTGTGCTAAACTTTTGGCATTATAAGCCCTATAATAAAGATTTTTAAAGATGTAGGCAGTTATAAATGACCATAAAGTTAAGAGTCATTCCATTTTTATAAAATTAGTTAGAGTCAATAGGGCATCTATAAATACCAAGCTAAAAATTTATTATTACTTCTTTTAAATTGAAAATAACATCTCCTAAATCTAAATCTTTTTTTTCTAACAATGAGTTTCATTAACTAAATAATAAAACAATAAATAATTTTTTCTAGGTTTCTAATTTTTTAGGCTCTGATTAGCCAGTTACAAAAATTTGCTGCTTAGTGCATACATAAGTTGCTTAACCTCTACCTTGGCTACATCTGTCCTGGCTATTTTATGTCAACTTGACATAAGCTAGAGTCAGAGAGGAAGTAACAGCTGGGAAATGCCTCCATAAAATCAGGCTGTTAACAGACTGTAGGACATTTTCTTAATTAGTGTTTGATATGGAAAAACTTAGCCCATTGTGGTTAGGGCTACCTCTGGGATGGTGGTTCTGTTTCTATCAGAAAGCAGGTTTAGCATGTCATGTGAAGCAAACCAGCAAGAGGCACTCCTCCATGGTCTCTGCACTAGCTCCTGCTGCCAGGTTCTTGCCCTGTTTGAGTTCCTGTTTTGACTTCCTTCAGTGATGAATAGTGATGTGGATGTGTAAACCCTTTCCTCCCCAGTTTGTTTTGGTTCATCGTATTTCAACACAGCAATAATAAGCCTAACTAAGACAACCTCCCACAATCTCCATTTCATCATTTGTGAAACTAGAAATGCATAATTTTCACACCATGCTAGGTATAATGTACCAGAAAAGACTATGCTCCCAATAAATGTCAGTTTCTGTTGCCTACATCAGCTGAGTACAAGATAATTAAAAGTGAGATAAAATACGTTGAAAGCTTGCCTGGAAGACTACCCTGGCTTTCATAAAAATAACTTTGTTCTTTCCTTTTCTATTTCCTGAAATATCAGATTTGCTCTTTTTCACACCAACTCCTATTCTTCATTTATACTTACAGTTCCATTATTCACTATATATAATTTTTAACAATTCAGAAAAAATATACTTCTATATTTTATACTGTTACATTAGTAGTAAAAAAGAATTTGTAACTACAACAAGTGTATTTTCTATTTGTGTGTCATTATTTTACTAATAACTCCAGAAGTATCCAGAAATTTACTAAAATCATATAGTATCTAGTTCATAAAATTTCCTTTTCCTCTGTTGAAAAAAAATACAGGAGTTACTGCATTTTATTTTTATACTATTTGCCTAGTAATCCTTAGTTTCAAAGTAGATGAGTAACTCCTACTCCATTACCACATTAACAAAAGGGCCTATAATTTATTCAAATTTTCTGTAATAAAGGTTTCAAACATACTTAAAAGCAGACAGGATAATGTAATAAATCCTCATAACTTAGTCAATTAATTTTAACCATCAACTCATGACCAAACTTGTTTTACCCATACCATCTACATCCATTTTAATTTTAAACAAATCTAGAACACCAGATTATTTAATCCATAAACATTTCAAATATATACACACATACATATATCCTAAAAGGACTGATGAATAAAAATGCATAATCATTATAATCACTTAACAAAAACTATCTCTTAATTTCATCAAGAAGCCTGACAAGCATTCCAACCTCTAAGTGGTTTGTGAATTTTTAAATCTCTTTCAGTCAAGAGTCAAATAAAATCCATGGAACATTGTCATGTTTCAAATTTAAAAACACTAATTATTCTTCCACTTTTATTTTCTTTGTAATTATTCGGGGGGGAAAAAGTCATGTAAATTGTCCTATGACAGGTTTGATTCTGTTAATTGCATTCCTGTTTCTTTGATTTTTCTCTCAATTTAAATGATGCAGGTTTGAATTTTTAGCATGCATATTTTTCCTGTGATGTTATGATAATTCAGCTGTCTCTCTTTTTATGATGTTGACAGGCATAGGTAGGTAATTACTAAATCTGCTCATTTATGAGGGGTTGCAAAATAGGTGGTATTCTTTCATGCCTTCACATATGAGCTAAAATAATTTTCACAGAGAAAATTTTCACTGATGTAGATTCTTCATTGTAAGTTTAAAAACAATGCATTAGTTCTCTAGCTGACTTCATTGGTAACATTTGGTATATCTAAGTTCACTGCAGTTATTATTGTTATTATAGTTCAACTTTTATTTATTTGGCTAGCAGAAGCCTCTTAAACTAAAATAAAAATTTCTCTTTATCTGCTGAGCCATTTCACCAGTCCTAGTAGAGGCCTCTTCATGTTGGCTTTTCAGTTCTTTTAATCCTTATAAATTTTAATTGCTTCCTTTACATTTGGCATTCAAGACACTTCAAGTTCGTTTGTTTACTTTCTATCCCAGGCCTACAAGTCTTCATAGTGTGAAACATTTTCTAGGGAAAGGTTATTAAAAACTCCAATGTATTTATTTGGTTTCTTGCACATTAATTTTTATAAACATTTAACATATGATACCTACATTATTCTTTCATATTTATCCTAGACACACTATCATTTATATGATAGTTCTTTTCAAAATGGAATATTTAAAAAAATTATTCAAGTATATTCTTTCTCTTCTATATCTAGTCCAATGTACTTTATACTTTTTAGTTAAACAGTCTTTAAATTGGGAATTAAAAAAAAAAAAAGATTTATTTGTTTATTATGTATAGTGTTCTGCCTGTATGTATGTCTGTGGGCCAGAAGAGGGCACCAGATCTTGCCATAGATGTTTTTGAGTCATCCTGTGGTTGGCTGGGTATTGAGCTCAGGACCTCTGGAAGAATAACAATGGCTCTCAACCTCTAAGCCACTTCTCCAATCCCCTAAATTGGGAATTTTTAACAATAGTAGTGACATAATAGGACACAGATCATACTTTAAATAAAAAGTATTTAGCATTCACTTAGCTATATATCTGTAACTACCAAAAGTTTCATTTTAACTAATTGGAAGTAGTTGCCTTTAGAAAACTAGAAATAGTATGGATTACAAATCTAGGAAATGTGTTTTTAATACTTAAAAAAACTATGTGGATCTTTATATGCATGAATAGTTGTGAAAGGAAAATGGTAGAATTAAAGATTCAAGTGTTACTACCTGGGGTGGGGGGAACCTGTGGTGTTGCATTTATGTAATGTGTAATTTTTCAAAGAGTAAGAATTGTGCCATGATTATTAGGAAGGATTACCTTTTTAGTCTTAAAAAACATAAAATTAATATACATTTATACTTTCAATGAAAACAAAATAACTTTGAAGCTTAGTAAAATTTTATAAAAGCCTTACCGATAGCCAGATCATGAGTGGAACTGTTTTACTCTGTACATGGGGGATTCAGTTAAACCTAAAGCCAAATTTATAATACTAACTGTAACTTAAAACATCACTTTCTCAAACTGTCAAATTATTAACATCTCAGATTACTAAATATAAAAATTAAGAACAAAGTTATATTTTAGCAATAGTTCCTTTAATTGGCATTTATATAGTCAATGCTGTATGACTATTGTTCATAATAAAGTTTTTTTTCTCTTACCATTCTGTATGAGTTGAATATGACCTCCCAATAGCCAGAAAAGAGAGTCAGTCACAATTTGGAAAAAATGTAGTAATTTATCTTTCTCTTCACCCTTAAAACAAAAGACAAAAACAATTTACTTTGCATAATTTAACTTAAATAATAAAAAGAAAGAACAAGAAAAGATATCTCTCAGAATAGTCAGCAGAGTTTATTTCCAGATTCAATAGCTACTTATAAAGAACCCAAACTTGTAGTGCTTTGCTTCTTCATTTGCAAAGGCAGTGTATGAATACTCTACTACTCACAGATAAAACAAAACTACACGGATAAAACCAAATGAAATAGGTAGCCTAAGAATTACAGACTGATATACTAGAACCTGACTTGTAGAACTTTTAAATATACTTATTTGCACAAGTCCAAATATATATAACCTGAACTTCACAAAGTTAGATGAGTGATTTCATTATACAGCCAAGGTTGGAAACCATGGCAATATGAAAATGTAAGCATGTAAGGCATTATTAATAGAACTTTTCAGTTCCAGTTTCTACTCTAAGACTTTATGAAAGCAGAGAGCATACCACTTACTACTCCCCATTATAACTCACTGTCTACAATTTTGATGTACAGTAAATGTTCCATTAATATATTCTAAGTAAATAAACAATTTCTTTTTCTGAATCTATTCTTGTGAAAAGGTTGTTAAGAGTGCAACAACAGTAGTCAAAACAGATTCCATTGACATTGTCATTTACTGGCTTTAGAACTTTAATATAAAACACTATATAAGGGTCTTTAAATCCATCCAGGTTCTGAACATTTCTACTGCAGCAGAAAACTGATAACAGTTAACAAACAAACAAACCATCTGTTAACTAAATTGTAATGTCCTGTCTATAAAACTACCAAACATAAAAAAGTCACATTAGATTGATTGCTGTTTGTCTAGTAAACTTCCTTTTCCAATTTCATTCAATCATAGATACAATAAGAAAGAGCATCATAGTTCTTGTTGTCAATCTAAAGGGAGATGTTGTATTTCTAAATGTCAAAATGTTACTTTAAAAGTCTGTTTGATAATGTCAACCATTAATTTACAACTCCTGACAGGTTAACAAAATTTGCCCATAAATCATTTCAAAGTTTTTGAATAGATTATTTTTCTTTTCTGTTACAGTTGGAGGGAGATATTTAAAACTAGTGTGTAGGTTGCATACTATCACATTCTTAAAGTTTTGCTTGGAAGCTCCTAACTAGACTAACGTTTACTCAAGATTCTGTGACCATTGATTTAAATCTGCTGCCAAATGAGGCAAAGGGCTAGCATATTGTACACATCATTGAATTTCTCACTTAATTCCATTCTTTTATATGTAAGATTTATTTAATATGTATTATTTTTGTCTGCATTTATGCATCCAAACAATGGCTGAGGAGGCCAAAGAGGAGTCAGCTCTCCTGGATCTGAAGTTATAGATAGTTGTGAGCCACCATGTGGGTGCTGGGAATCAAACCCAGGTCCTCTGGAAGAGCAGTCAGGGCTCTTAACCACTAAGCCATCTCTTTAGTTCCTTAATTCCAGTCTTGTGATTTTTTTATTTAATGTTTGGAAATAAAAATCCATTATCTTTAATTTTTCATAAAGAAATAGCTAAAATCTTATTATTAGCCTGAGAAATATTTAGGTACAAGGCAGACTCTTCACTTCATAAAATCAATGCTCTAAAATGAATTTAATATAACAGTGATTATTATTATCTGTGTCTCCTGAAATACACAGGTTGATGTCTTAAACCCCAATGTGATATGTGTAGAAGCATGAAATCATGAGGCCAGTGCCCTTTGATGAAATTAGTGCCCTTATTACTCCACCCCCTGACAAAAACCATAGAACACACAGCCAGGTGGCAGCCATCTCTACCAGCCAGCTACAAATTATGTTCTACCAGTAACTAAATCTGTCTATCTTATTTTTGTACTTCCCAGCATGCAGAATTTCAAAGACAAAAAATGTCCACACTTTTCTTAAAATAGTCTACTTTGTTATGGTAGCCTAAACTATGACACTGATGAGTTCTCTCCACAATTTACAAAAGTTATGAATGGATTCAAATCTAATACAGCAGTAGGCCCAAAGGTATATTCTGCCAAGAACTCTTCCAAAGAAAAAAGGGATTTAGCCTCATAGACTGACGGTAGAAGTTAACAAGTATCTTTCATAAGGTACTTAGAATGAGAAAAATGGACTTAGGAACTATTTAAAATTTGATCCTGACAGCCTTTATACTGGTCCCAGTCTTTTGAATTTAAAATAATACTGTCATCTATCATCTATAACTGCTAACTTCTTTACTCCATATACAAAGAGGGGTACACAAACTCCTATTGGTTCTGTTTTTGCTAAATTTCTGTTTGTTAGAACACTAATGGATGTGGTTGTCCCCATAACATAACATTCGTGTGTGTGTGTGTGTGTGTGTGTGTGAGTGAGTGTGTAAAACAGAGGAAAAGAAGGTCAAACAAAAATCCATAGAAAGAAATTTGAGAGTAAAGGGACAACCTATTGAATATTGCAAACTATGCATCTGACAAAGGTTTGAGTAACATACAAGGAATTCAACGGGATGCAAAAAAGAAAGATTCTGATTTTAAATCTAAAATGACATTTCTCAAAAGAACATACAAATGGCCAACAGGTTTACTAAAAAATGCTCAGTATTAATAATCATCAGGAAAAGGGCAATCAAAACCCCATCTGGCCAAATGGCTATTATCAGAAAGACAAAAATAACAAATGATAAGGAGAATGGAAAGGGGGGGTAATAAATTTGTTACAATTATAGAACATTTTGTGGGAGTTCAACAGATTTATATGCAGTAATTACATTACTAGATTTTTATTTAAAAGAAGTGAAATTAATATCAATACACATGTACTATTTTTGTACTCCTTTATTGTAACACTATTTACATATTAAAAAAAATAGAAATAACCTAAGTATCAACCAATGAATGCTCAAATAATGGAATCCTTTTCAGGCATAAAAAGGATGAATTTCTGTCATTAGCAACACCATGAATGGAAGTGAAGATCAGTAAGTGAAATAGGCCAGGCCAGAAAGTCACATCCTATATGAATTCACACATGTAGAATCTAAAACAAGCTGATATCATAGACGCTGAGACAAGAAAACCAGTGGCTAGGGATAATAAAAGATGATGGGGGAAAATTTAATAATACAGACATTATCTAATATTTAGAGATAATCTGAGGTACTCTATAGAACATGGGGTGATTATAATTTAATGATAACTTTTACTTTTCTTTAAAAAAAAGGAGTGATTTTATTCTGAATATTAAAGAGATTAACAAATGGTTGTCTCATTATTCTGATAGTCATATAAACTTAATATTGTGAACAAAGTTGCAAACTCATAGTTTCTAACAACTCCTAATTAGCCATTAAGAGAATTATAGACTGGAAGTTCAGGTTTATAGTCTTAGTACTTGGGAAGTTGATTCAGCAGGATTGCTGAGTTCCATGCCTGCTTGAGCTACTCAGTGAATACTATGGCAACCAGAGCAAGACATATATATTTACATACATGACATATTCATAAATGTTATGTGCATAGGAAAGAATAGAACATACCAATGAGAGACATCCAGACAGAAAGGTGGCTTTTCCCCCCATTTGTTCCCCTACCACAATTAGGTTTTCTGTTTTTTTCCTAAGATAGAGCCTCACAATACAACCCAAGCAGCTTTGAACTCACAATCCTCTTGCCTCATTCTACTGACTGCTGAAATATAGATATCCATCATTACATCTTGCTAAAAAGATGATTTTGTGAGTGAACTATTTCCTGACCATGACTAAGGAATAAAATGATTCTTGTTGGGCAAAGCACATACCTCTGATCCTAGCTCTCAGGATGCAGAGACAGGCAGATTTCTGTGAGTTTGAGGCCAGCCTGATCCACACAGAACTCCATCTAGGTCAGTAGGATTACAGAGTGAAACTTTGTCTCAAAAATCAAAGCAAACAAACAAAAAGCAAAAACAACAAATGAAGATTAGAAATCTTTGGTACTCAAATTGGAATCTGAGTTCTCTGCTGTGGTATTTTGGGCTAGTTTGACACAACTGGTTGAAAAAGGATTGAAGAAGATGAAGAAATTCTCAAACATCTGGTCTTATTCCTACCCTCAGGGTTATGACTGAGATCTCAACACAAATACACTTAAGGCCTAACTGTGAGTGATTTGGGACAATTTGGAAGACAATCACTTAGGGTCAAATCAAGCTGTAACGAGTTAGCAGGTCAGCTCTAACCTGGGGCCTTGTACTGGAGTCCTGAGGAAGAATAGGAACGGTAGATGAGAGAGGCTGGTAAATTAGCTATATGACAGACTCAGTCATCCATAAGGATGGAAGCAGAAGCTATCAAGACAATTTAACAGATAAAGGACATGACTCCACCCTTATAGGCAGCAATGCTAAGAAAATCCCTAATGATTTCTCATTGGGCAGGCTTCTCTGTTTCTATACTACACAGTACAAACTATATATTCTCTACTACAAAATATTTATACAGTATAGATCTTGTAGGGTAACGGGCCAGTAGAAAATCACCCTGCCCCTGGTCTACCCCTTAACCCAGGACTGGAAGTCTCCACCCCCATGACTCAGGGTTAATGGGCAAGCAATACCTTGTATTTTGCCACTTGCTCATAGTGCATGCTCCAAAGACCCTATAAAAGCCCCACCTTTAACCCAGCCTGCTGTGTCTCTGTACCCACTCAGAGGCAGCCATCATTCTGTGTTTCTCCTCAATAAATCTTGTGTGAGGTTTGTTGTATGGTGTGACTTTGTGGTATGCGTGGCTCCCTTGTGCCAGAAAACCTTTTCAGATATAACAGGCTTGGACACTTCAAGTGTCGAGCACATGGTCTTCAGAAATTTGTTTTGTTGTGATAAAAAAGATCACAAATTTAAAAAATAGTATAGCATTTGCTGCTGTTCTAAGGTATCATCACAGATTCCATCTTCAAATTTTGATGTGCTAATATGGCACTTCCTTATAGAAAGTGAACTACTAGAATGCTAGTTTGCATAGATAAGGCCTGGACTTTGTCCAGCAGCTCCTCAATCTGTAAAGATCTAAAGTAGGAATTCATAAGGCTAAGAATCAATTCTGTGGACTATGTAACGCAAAAACCTCTTGTACTCCTTCAGATCATTTTCTCCCTCCTTCCCTCTCTTTCCCTTCCCCCACCCCAGAACATCAGGTGTAATCTTGTGGTCACTTAAGTTTTTTTGACTGATCTAGAACACGCTTCTCTATTCTTTTCAAGTTAACAGCTGTACCTGAAGCTCATCTACTCTGATCTCCATCTTCTAACTTTCTGAGTTCATCGTAGGATTGTGTTCTTTCAGTTGCTACAGTTCAACCTTACAACAGGCCCTCCATTCTTCCACTTTCATTCTAACTTCTAACTGATGCTCTATAGTATCTAACTTTTCCTGCTTCCTTTGGAGCTCAGCCTGCATGTTTGAATTCTGCTTCTAAAAGCTTTCAGTTGTACAGCTTGATCTCTTTCTCTATTCCCTTAGCTGCAACAACATGATGTCCTCTTCAGTTTATGAATGAAATTGGAAAGGAATATTTGCTCCCCAGACCACATCATCTTGAGCCACATAGCAGAACTGGCACTATTCATCATGCATACACGCAGTAAACTTTAAATTGGACTTTCTGTGTTCAGGTCACAGGCAAAGTAACTCACAAGAACGTATAATACTCCTGGGTAGTCTTCTACTTCACTCTAGAGATGTTGACCCAATCCTTGTAACTGGGAATAAAACGCTAGCTAAAAGTTTAATAGTATATGTATCCTCTCCAAGAACATAGAAAATCTCCACAAACTAAAGATGATCGAGAGAAATTACTGATCCAGGAAGGCAGCTATTATGGAGTGAAGAGGATCATCTATTGTCTTTTCTATGGTGGGTCCAGGAACAGCAGACAGCAACAGTGCATCAGCAACAGGGCAGGCAAAGGCAAACTATGTGCTTTTTTTTTTTTTTTTTTTTTTTTTTTACCGAAAAGGAATGACAAATGTCTAAGGAGATAGATTTGCTTATTCTGATATGGATATTATATGTAGTATAAAGGTATCAAAATGTTACATTGTTCCCTTAAAGTATGTACAACTTTGTTATGTATCAATTAAAAAACAATAGAGTCTAACTAGCCTGAAGTATCAGAAATTAAGTTTGAAACAGCTAGAGCAGTCTGGAAAGAAGTAGGCTATAAGGCAGGAAACTCCAAAACCAGTATGTAAATGTCCATTCAATTTTTGACTTAACTATGCACTTTTAAGAACAGGCTCTAAGAAGCCACGGAAAACTATAGCTGGAGGGCTGAAGGAATTATTATCAGTCTTATTTCCTACCAATTGGTGAGCATACAGAGTTTAGAGTACAGGTTCTTCCATATTAGATGGTCTGTTTTAACACTTTCAGCTTTCATTTAAACCAAAAGATTACATATAATGAGGAGACTAAGGGCAATCCAATATTCATAAAACTGGAATGTATCTATCCTGAGGAAGGCTAAAAGGATCCTTTGTAGAATCACCTGATCTGCCAGAATGTAGCTGCTTCTCAACAGTCCTTGAAGGTAAGTGCTCCTACAATGTATCATTTGGAATCCATAATAAAACAAAAAATACTAATTTAATTGGACTTTATTACATAAAATAAAATAATAATAATAATAATAATAATAAAAAAAGAGAGAGACAGCTTGCCTGAACAAGGAGGAGCTAAGGGGCCACCAGACTGATAGCTGGGAAGCCAGCATGGGACTGACTCAGGCCCCCCTGAATATGGGTCTCAGCCAGAAGGACTGAGCAGTCTAAGGGACCTCAGACAGTGGAGCCAGGATGTATCCCTGGTGCACAAAAGGACCTTGCGAACACATCCCCCATGGAGTGATAACTGCCTTAATCTAGAGACAGGAGAGAAGCCCTAGTCCCTACTTCACATGACCTGTCAGATCTACATGACCCCACCTGGATGGCATTGCCCTACATATGGAATTGGGGTGGGGGGATGGGAGGGGAGGGTGGTTAGGGTGCATGTGAGAGGGCAGAGAGGGTAAAAAGGAGGGAGGGAGAGGGAACTGGGATCGACATGTAAAATAATATATTTAATTAAAAAAATGCAAGATATTCTTTTAAAAAAAATACTAGACATGTGAAAAAAAAATGGGCCCTGCAAAAAAAGAGGGGGAATATAAAGGTAATAGAAGCAAACTCTCAAATGATCCAGGTATTGAGTTTGTAAATAAGGGCTTGAAGTAATTACAAAAATATAGTAAAGAATCTACAAGAAAAGAAGGATATGAAGATTATGATATGAAGGAAAAGATTATGAAAACTTTAAAGGGAAAGAAGTCATAATTAAGAAATGTAATACACAAAAACAAAAATTCACAGATGGGATCATTAATAGATTAGCTTGAATAAATAATCAATGTGAAGGTACTCTAGTAGAAAGTATCCAAACTTATATAAACAACCACAGCAAGATGAACAGAAGGGAATGGCAGTAAGAATGAAGGCTGAGGCAAGAGGATAAGGAGTTCAAGGCCAGCCTTGTGACAAATAAAGCCCAGTTCACATGAGACCCTAATTTAAAAATACAGAAACAAACTAAAACCCAAACCAGAAAGAAACAGAGACAGAAATACACAGAAAAGAATGAATGAATAAATAATCATACAGTATTCTTTAGTAAGCATTTACACATTTTCTAATGTAGAAAGATTATATAACATAAATAAATGTTGTTATTTGGTCACAATAAAATTAAGTTAAAAATAGATAACAATAAAGTACAAATAAAATCTTCAAATATTTGAAGATTATGAAATATACTTTTTCTCTTTTTTTGCACTATATAAAAGAATAATGCACCTAAGAAATATTTGAATTATAAAGATCACCATGTTTGAGTTGAAATATTTTCATAAAGAAGCAATCTGAAATATAAAAGTTTACATATCTTCTTTATCACCATTAGAGATACTCAGAAAAGCCCTGGGCTTAGAGAACAAACTTGCCTCCAATTAGAGAAGGGAATAACAAGAAAATTTAAGCAGAGTATGTCCAGGAAAATGCAATGGAGCAATGGATATAAGTAATATATTATATGGGTATTGCCCAAAATTAAGTGGTAAGACAGACTATTCAAATATCATACAGCTAGCATTTATGAATTTTCTAATGTAGAGATTAAGTTCACTTTTTTTTTTTTTTTGGTTAAAGATATTTAAATTCACTACTCTACTTGTAAGTTAGGTCACATATAGCATATTTGATAAACAACATGGGAAAACTGAGGAAAGTCTAAATATGGTGTACATCCTTATAATCCCAGTACTCAGAAGACTTAGGCAGAAGGACTGACCCTCTGAAACTTGCAAGGCAAGACACTGAGCATGAAGAAAGCCTGGGTTATACAGTGAAACCTTATTTCAGGAAAAAAGAATAAAAATCATTGGGCTATAAAACACCAAATAAGCACATGCCTTAGCTGCATTGATGAAACATGTTTGTAACCGTCTCCCCAAGACAAGAAAATTTTCGGCAGCTGATGGAAGTAATTCCTTGTAAAATTCTTCTCCATCTTCTCCTGGCTCTAAGCCCACACAGCAATGGCTGAAATAAGAGTACAAGTTTGTGTTACTAATAAATATCAGTTTAATGTTCAAACTCATATAGGCATTGTGCTCTAATGAAAATCTTAAGTGCCATTCTGTTGTTGACAAGCCAATTAAAAACTTTCTAGACATTTTCAGCTTTTTAGAGAATTAAACTGTCATATGGACTTTGCTTGCATTTAGTTCCAGAGCTCACATATTCAAAAACCAAATATAATGGTCCTTTAAGAAATGAAAGGCATGCCTTTAATAGTTCATGCTTTTAATCCCAGCACCCTGGGAAACAGATACAGGCAGATCTCCATGAGTTCAAGGCCAGCCTGGTTTTACAGTCAGTTCCAGGTCAGCAAAGTTTACATAGTGAAACCTTGTCTCTGAAAACAAACAGAGGAAGGGAGGAAAGGAGGGAGGGAGAAAGGGGAGGGAGGGAGGAAGGAAAGAAGGAAGGAAGGAGATGAAAGACATGGTTTACAGTGAAAAGAAACAAGGTAAGTTTTCAGTAAGTTGGCTGCAATCACCCTAAAAGGCAAAGAATACTTTGGCTGTTTAATTCATGTTAATTTCTGTTAACTGATAGATTTTAGACATTTAAAATAAAAAAAAAATATATCTAGGGTGAGGTTAATCTCAAGGAACAATGATAAGAAAACTAGACATTCTAGTTTCATATCCAACTCTTCTTCCTAACAGACTGCTTTCTTAAGATCCACAGATTATCTGCCTATATATCCTTTGTATCAGAAAGGAAAACAGTAAACATATACTCTAAGTGTAATAGGAACATTTTATAATACAAAGATAAGAAGAATAAGCCCCTTAGAGAACTCTATCATGAAACCACAAAGTAAAGCTACTCCTTGGATATGAGTTGAATATATTAAAAAATATCAATGTTATAAGTACTTGTGTAGTAGTCTCATATCAAAAAGAGCCTTCAAACCAAAAGTGAGTAGTAGTATGATAAGTACTATTGTCTAAGTCTTTTCAACAAAATGTGAACACACTGATAAAGAATGGCAAATACAAGTGGAGCATGCTAAAAACATAACTGGCTAATGCTTGCTATCAAGTTTTTACTTTTTCTTTAGTTCTTAAACTTAACTACTCAGAATAGATGGCATTAATAAAAGAAATTATATTCAACCAATGTTTTCATCATCTAGTGTATCTAATCAAAACATATACAGGCACATATTTACTTATGTTCAACCAATATTGAAATAATTAATCTTGAAAATTAAAGTATGAAGGAGAATTACATAGATTAACTTTTTTTTGTAACTGTGTCCTTTGAATTGGGCCTTTATGTAATAACAAAGTAGGAGGAAACAGTTTAGAAAGTTAGGATCTAAAACAGGGTAGTATTAATATGAAATAAACAATCTCTTCTTTGTGGATAGTTCATTGAAAGTCAAATGGGATGGGACTGGAAAGATGGCTCAGTAGTTAAGAGCACTTGCTGCTCTTACAAAGTACTAGAGTTCAAATTCCAGAACCCAATCTGACAGATTACAACCACCTGTAACTTCAACTCTAGGGTATCCAAAGTGTTCTTCTGACCTCTGTGGGCACCTGTACTCATTTGTGTGCATATACCCACACACAGACACCCACATATATACATAATTATAAAAATAATAAATTTCTTCAAATGGGAGTGGAAAGATTACCTCAGACACCAAGAACATTTTATCCCTTATCACCTTCTTTTAAAAAGTTATGATCTTTCAATTACTAAAATGGCAGTAGAAAAGTAAATGATGCTTCTAAATTTCATGGACAGAATTTGGGCTACCTAACGAATATACAATTTAGATAACTAAATCACTACAAAGTTGAAATGAAGTTTATACACTTGTTCTCCCATAGTACTTTACTGTACACTTTCATTTTAACACCTAATTCAAGTATCACTGCTTCACAATCTCTACTGTAGTTTTTCAAGTAAAGAGCTTTAATTTCTTTATTTCTTCAAGTATTTCTGAGTCAACGGGAAAATATTAGCTAGTTGGGACTCAAGTGGTAAACAAAAAAGATGATCAATATGGAAAGAAATCTAAAGACAATCAATTGCAACTGGAGTAACAAACAATATCACACAGTGTGAAAGAAAAGTACAACCAAAAAAAAACCACAGGATTTTCTAACTTTTATTAGAATGACAAATAATAAAGAAATGTTGAAAATAAGAAAATATTTGCTTCATTTTACCTTAATATCTGTGTAAGCTGGGAAATTGTAGTCCAACCACCCTGGATTCGAGAACAATCTTGACTGAGGACCAATAGACAATACTGAATGAGGTCATAACAATATATATCTTGTTTGACTTTCTTCAACTCTGAGCTTCCCAAAGGAGTGTTGTTTATTATTTCTAAAGCAAGAGAAAAGATATACTTACTTTTTCTCAACACATCTAAGAGATACTTGTATTTTTATATGTGATCATTGAAAACATGGCAAAAGGGAAAATGCTAAGATTTCTCTAAACAAATTAGAACCCTAACACTGCATCATAATAGAAGCAGTATTTACTTAATGTTTTTCCTAAATATATTAAGTATTTTCTTACCTTTTAACTTTAACAATATAACAGGGACATTCTGTTCAGGACTTTTCGCTACTTCAGCAGCTAAAGACAAGATCCTTGGGTCTGTACCTGTTGGCTTCATTTTTTTTTTTTTTTCACTACCTGTATTTTAACAGAAAAAAATTAAACAAACAAACAAAAATCCAAAGGTCAAATGTACTAAGAACCAGAAATTGTGCTAGCTTTACATTCACTCTCTACACAATTCTAGGATAGAATTCATACAGGAGAAACAGATTGTACAAAGAGTTGGTATGTCAGGCTTCATACCAACTGTTAACAAAGGTCAGTTTACAGGGCTGGCCCTTGGCTATTATCTAGAATGCAGATTTCAGAAGGACTTTTTATTGTTCTCTTATAAGCCTAGATCACTGTTCCTAAAAATAATGGTTCTTGGTAAACATCTGTTTAATCTTTTAGAGCCCAAGAATTCTTACTTAACGAAATACCTGAGATGAAGTATTTTACAAAGAAATGTATTTAGCTCACAGTTCTAGAAGTTCAAGGACCTTGTGCCAGGCTTAGCTCTGGTGAGGGCTGTCTTGGCTTTGCCATATGACAGACGGTATGATAGCATGAATGGAAGACATCATATAGCAGAAGATATCCAAGAGAGACTGAGAAGGATCAAAACTCCTACAAAAACTGTATCAAATAGTTAGAGGTTGGTGATTCCAATAATATAATTATTTCCCACTAGGCCTTACCTCTTCAACATTCTACCACCTCTTATCATTGATATCAAGGACCAATCTTTCAACACACAAATCAGCAAACATCCTGGTCACTGAATATCTCATAAGCTTCCTAATGGAAAACACTTTACAGCTGTTGTCACAAGTTTTGCTTGAGAAACTGTGTGTGCCCTCTGTAATTCTACTGGTAGAGGATCTTGGAAGCCCAGGCCTGGTTTCCTCTGGATGTACTCTATATGGTCTTTGACTTTGATAACTTTGCTTTGCATATCTTCATTACAAATTATAGCTAACAAGTAAGACAATATATGAATTGAGTCCTGTAAGCCCTTCTACCTAATCACTGAATCTGAAAATGGTTTGGAAAGCCCTAACATACTAGACCTCAGTAATGTTATATAATTATAAAAAAATTATTTATATTGAATCAACTCTAAAATGCAGAAAATGTTCACATCTGAATTTTCTTACCAAAACCTCTTTATATGTCCTTAAGAATTTGAAGCTTAATACTATCATTTAATATAAAACATATTTTAATTAATAAAGGATAGCATATAATATGGGCTAGGACCTGCGCTATGTGGGTTTTAATGCATTTTTTATCCTCACAATGGGACTATGAAGCACTGCCCATAATCATCTTCAATGTGCAGTTAAAAAATAAATAAAACTTATCTGGGCAGAGTGGCACATGCCTTTAATCCCAGTACTTGGGAGGCAGAGGCACATGGATCCCTGTAAGTTCAAGGCCAGCCTGGTCTATGTAGTGAGTTCCAGGGCAACCACAGCTACATGGTGAGACCATCTTGAAAGAAAAACCATTAACAAGAAAAAGAAAACTTGAAGAAACTTGTCACAGCTCCACCAATATATGGTAGCATTAGTTAGATATCAGTCTAACTACAAACCTTGTGATTTTACATTTACTCTTATCAAAAAAAAAAAAAAAAAAAAAAAAAGGTGAGAAGCTTTAAAACCTGTGATTTTACTTATTTGATTTTATTTATTTAGGTTTTTCAAGACAGGATTCCTCTGTATAACAGTCCTGGCTGTCCTAGATCTTGATTTGGAGACCAGGCTAGCCTTGAACTCACTGAGATCTGACTGCTTTTGCCTCCCAAGCATTGGGATCAAAAGCATGGGCCACTACCACCTGGCAAAACCTGTCTGTGATTTTAATTACAATGTTCATTATTTTATTTTTCTTCCAGGTAAAGCTGTAAACATAAAACATATTTTCAAATAATCTGACTCATTTCTAGGCTGGTCCCATCTTTGTATTTACAAGTTGGCTGCAATATAGTCATTTAAAAATCATCTTTCTTCTTGGGCAAACGTATAAGTCATTGATAGACAAGTTCACTGAAGCCATTTTAATGAAAGCTCAATAAAACACCCAGCATTGTAGAAGACACAAAACTTTCCTACAGAACGCATGTTAATTACCTTACTCTTTCCAGTGTCTGCATTATTCTATCTGTTCTTTGTGAGAGTGCATTGAAATACATTTAAACATTCCCTTCACTGGATGTCATTTAGGTTGCAAATTATTATATATAATACTGCAAGTAAGTACATATGCATTCATTTGGCCCACAGAACAAATTCCTCTTGATTTTAGATGGCCAAAAGTCAACCATCTAAGCTTCTCAAAACAAATATTTTCATCTATAAGCAAAGCTGTCATTCCTCGGTCCTACAATTCAAAATTTAGAAGGTAGCCACCAATGTTAAGTCTTAAAATAAGAAAGTATAGCTGAATCTTAATAAGCATCCAGAGACCTATGTGTCCTATAAATTGTATTTGCTTGAATATATTAATTCATTTAACCATCTCAACAGTTCTAAAGGAAGGGCCTTATTTTTTACATAGCTATTATCATTACTTCCCCAATTCTAATGATAAACACATTTGCTTGAATTGCTTGCACAAAGTAAGTCACAGTGTTAGTATGAAGCTGGAGTACAAGCTCAGAGACCCTGGCTCCAAAACCTTCGTTTCCATGCACCTTTAAAGGGTAGAAGGCAAACATAATCACGTGTCCACCTCGAAAAATACATTGACAAATCTGCTTAAGGTAGAAGTGGAAGGATGATACAATTAGCCTGGAAAAAAAAAAAAGTCATCTGCTGGAGCAAGTCATTGCATACTTTTTCTGAATTCTCCTCTAACATACATAATGAACGCTTTCTCCCACTTTATAAAGATGCTGTGAAGTGTAAGAGGAAAGAAAAAAAAGGCAGTTATTGATCAATTCCTAGGCTTACCCTGCTGCTAGGCCGGTCTTTGAGGAATCAAGATTCCCTGGCCATGCCCTTCACTGCCTCCAGGGGCCACTAGGATGGAAACAAATGCCAGAAACCTGATGCAGCCGGTTACCCCAACCCTAAGCTTCAGGGTCCCCTGGGGAAACGGCCCCTCCTCAGACCCCAACCCTGGCGGGGAAAGGCCTGTGCTATTTAAAGGTTAAAAAAAAAAGGCCATCAAGGGACCTGCATCACTTCAACTGGCTCCCAGTCTGGTCCCGGCGCCGAAGGGGCGCGGCTGGGGTTCCAGAACGGGCCCCGGAGCTACTAGGCCTCGGAAAGCCACAGGCCCGGGCCCAGCGGCCCCCTCCTCAGGCGTCCGTTTCCAAACCTGCGGGCCAGGCGCGGAGGAGGCCCACGCCAGCCGGTTCACTAGGTCCAAGAGCCTGGAGTCCTAGCTTCCCCGCCCCCCTCTGGAGCCCTCGGCCACCCCAGCCGCCATCTCAGGTCTGTTACCGCATCTTCGCCTCGCCTTCGCCCACCTCAGGCCCCGACCCGCACCGCGCACCTCAGCGCGGCCGCGTTCGCCGAGCTGTGTGCGTCGCGACGCGGGAAGGGGGCTAAGGGCGGGAGAGGGGGCTAGGGGCGGGGCGGGACCGCAGGCGAGAGGCGGAGCATCTGTCTCCACATAGCCAATCGGGACTCGGGGCGCCCCAGGGGGCGGGCGCACGCGCGGGAGAACAGAGCCCGCAGGGCCCGAGCTGAGGCTCGCGGCCGGTGCAGCTGCTTCGGAAGGCTGCGGCAGCGGGTGGCGAAGGCCCAGTGGGTGCCAGAAGACGAGAATGAATGGACCAGCGGGACTCGCGTACCTCGACCGTCGCGAGAGGGTCCTCAAATTAGGCGAAAGTTTCGAGAAGCAGCCGCGCTGTGCGTTCCACACCGTGCGCTGTGAGTGCGGGCTGCCCGGGATACCCGGGAGGAACCTCCTGGGATGGTGTGTGGGTGGGTGATGTGGACACAGACGCCTCGGAATTCTGCAATTCTGTCCCCGCGGCCCTTTGCTCCCCGGGAGACCCGATGGCAGCTTGATCCACTATGCCGCCTTTCCCAGCCTCGGTGCAAGCACCTGGTATCCAGCAGGTGTAGGGGAACCCTGGGAGGATTTAGGGACTGACAGGCAGAAGAGGACGTTTTGTTTAGAAGATCCCCAAGGCTGGCTGTGGAGATTAGCATGACAAGTGGATGGTGCAGAGTGGAAAGGTGACAGATGGAACAAAGGATCGAATTCAGGGCAAAAGGCATGTTTAGAGGCCACAGGGATATTTCTTCCCCATTTTCACTGTCCTCTGGCGGATGACAGTTTTTTTGTTTCTTTGTTTGTGGGGAGAGACTGCTGTCAGGTATCTCAATAATAATATCTCTTTTGGATCTCAGATAATCAGTAATTACTGATTCCCAAAAATTGAAAGGTGAGGTTTTAATGTTACTTTAATATTGTTGGGAAATTGGCTACAATGAGCCTTTTGTTTTAGTACTTAAATGGTATAGACACCAGTATGAAAAATATAGCATACTTTTGTATGTAAAACTTCTTTTTTGCATAGTAGGCCTCAAAGTTCTAGAGCAAAAAGGAAACATCATTGAGTCGTGACCTCTTGTGCGTGCGTGTGTGTGTGTGTGTGTGTGTGTAAGAGAGAGTGACAATTTGTAAAGTAGGTATTTTTTCACATTTTTTTCCCCAGCCCAGGTGTTCTTTACTGTCTCATTGTTTTACCTTCCTCAATCATTCTGTCTTTTTTCTTATAAAGTTTATATTCTGAAGATAACCCTATTTAAAACCAGCCCTCAAAATTTATAGGTTTTAAACAATCTGACTATACTAACTCAGAGGAATTGTAGAAACAACGGCTTTAACTTTCAAAAGATATGTTTACACTTAATAAAAAAGGTTTTGTTATGCATTTTTGGTAGAACATACTGGAGAGATTTACCAGCAGAGCTCCAATGATGTCCCTTGTTTATTTTGCCCTGGATGACAATTCAGAGGACTTCCCCACAATAAAACAGGAGCTATAGTGCTGGGCAGGCCCTGTAGCTTCTCTCTCTGTCTCTCTCTCTCTCTCTCTCTCTCTCTCTCTCTCTCTCTCTCTCT